TTGTGTGTGCATGGAGATTTCTATTGTTACGTCACTAAGTTAAGCAAAGTTTTCCTCTGAAGTAAGCGTGTCTTTTGCTGTGCTTATGCTTACTGTCTCCATGAAAAAGACGGAGGCTCTGTTGGCATAAAATTGTGTGCTTAGCAGCGCGGTGAAATTGGGCCCTGCTCAGTGAACAGTGTTACTTTGTCTTTCTTGCAGCTTTATTTGTCTTGCTCAGTGAACGATGATCACATCACATTCCATATATTCAATTCTTTGTAGGTTCTGCCATTACTTATGGCAGCTTGACGTTCAATTTCACAGACAAAAGTTTGGAATGAAATTAAAACTGAATTTGCTAGCTGAATGTTTTCTTACACAGCAAGGCCTTTCAAATGTTATGCTGAAGTAATATAACTCGGAACATTTGCTAAATGAAAACACTCCAATTTTTCATCTGTTTGCTTCTTTTTTTTTGGCAAACAATCCTGTGAAAGTTGCAACATGTGATTTTCTCTGCATTATGTTGTACTGTTGTAGTCGAAGAGCCTCTTGATAATTAGCTTTATAGGCGATCCCTCAGGACTTCATGTGGTACAAATACAATTTAATGTTGTAACTCGGAACATTTGCTAAATGAAACACATTTATTGAATTTGGCTACAATGTATTTTTCCTGAATTTTGATAAAAATGCAAGGGTACTAAAACCCTGTACTGTTTTGAATTTGTGCTAAAAACTTAGTTTTGCCCCGTTTTAATGAAAATACAAGGCTTTAGTGCCTTATACCGTTTTTAATGTGTGATAACGGCTTACCGTGTTCAATTTTGGATAAAAATTTGTGTCTGTCCCGTTTTGAGAAAAATGCAAGGCTATAAATAAACCCCTTACCGTTTTAAATTGGGGATAAAAAATTAACTTTTGCTTCGTTGTTATGAAAATGCAAGGCTATTGCTTTACCGTGTTTAATTTGTGAAAAAGTGCAAGCCCTTACTGATTGGAATTTTTACTACAAACGTATTTGTCCTGAATTTAAAAAAAATGCTAGGCCTGCCCCTTACCGTTTTGAATTTGTGATAACTTAACCTTAACTTTTGCCCCGTTTTAAAGAAAATGCAATACAATTAATTCGTGATAAAAATTTAAATTTTGCCCCGTATATTTACTGTTTATAATTTGTGATAAAAATGCAAGGCTACATGAATAAACCCTCACTTTTTTGAATTTGTACTACAAATGTATTTTTCCTGAATTTTGATATAAATGCTACGCTAACTCCTTACCGTTTTGAATTTGATGTCATCCCATTTTAATAAAAATGCAAAGCCAACCAACCCCTTGCTAGTTTGAATTTGAAATGAAACCTTATTTTTTGCTGAATTTTGATCAAAATACTAGGATAACCCTAACCGTTTTGAATTTGTGATAAAAACTTAACATTTACCCCCATTTTAATGTAAATGCAAAGCTATTGCCTAATTATCGTGTTGAATTTTTACTACAAATGTATTTTTCCTGAATTATGATATCAACACTAGGGTACTGCCTGAAGGGCCTGTCCCATTACATGCGCTCTCATAGGAGACCTTACGGCGACCAAATGTTTTTCATAAATTTAACAATCGCAGCAAAGACGCAAGAAAATGACAACTTTCTCTCCAAAGAAGCTCAAGCTACGCTCATACTGTGCTCTTCCTGCACTTATGATTCGTGCAACTCGCTCTCTATGCGCCCCTGTCAAGCCCAATTACTCGATCTAGTCGCTGCCTCTGCGCTGTCACTGCGCCCACACTACGCTCTGCTCGCTGTTGATACGTCCTAGTAGCTCGTGTCGCGCTCTCTATTCGACCAAAATACGCTCATGTGACATCACTTGCGCTGTATAAATGCCACGACAAAACGGTCAATACACAGTCCAGTTTCAAAAATTATTCTACAAGTTCATCGCAGTCGAGTTACTTTATCATGGAGACTACATCGACTGCCTTACGCATAAGCTGCCTCAATGCCACTTCAATGTTGCATGATTCACGCTCGCACAGCGCTCGAGTTGCGTCATTAGGGCGCCCTGGCCAGAGCGCAGAGGTGTTGCGATTGTTTTGAGCATGTTCAAAGACCTTTGCGCTCATCGAAGACCATTAAGACCCTCTGGCGCCCATCTGGCGACCTATGTAGTTGGCGCTGCGATGTAGTAGTTGTTGTTGCGCCTCAGCTATTTTTCAAGGACGCATGAGAGCGCATATAAGATCGCAGACAGTGTGACAGAGCCTTTAGCGTTTTGAATTTGAGTGCGTCCCATTTCGATAAAAATGCAAGGCTAACCCCTTACCGTTTGAATTGGTGATAAAAACTTAACTTTTGCCCTGTTTTAATGAAAATGCAAGGCTAATGCCTTACCGTTTTTAATTTGTGATGAAAATGCAAGGCTAATTAACCCCATTGCTGTGACGTCACACTATTGTTAAAAGTGTGGATTCGGATCTACGAATCTGTTACGCTGGTCACAAAGTGTGGATTCGGAAAGAAGAATCTTTAGTAAAGTGTGGATTCGGAATTACGAATCCACACTTTTAACACGTCAGACAATTGTTCTCCATTGTGACCATTAATAGGACCGTATGCGTGAAAATTTCTTTCCGAAATTACCAATGTATCTTCACTGACTCAGAAATAAATTATCGTCTGAACTATCAATTTGTCGACGGAAGGAGCCGTGACAAATGTTGCAACCTACCGCCACTTTTTTTTCTCCATATATCATCTCAATGAAAGGCATTCATTGCAAAAATGATGATAAGACATGAATCTGGGACTGAGAAATATTTCAAATTTTGTTAGAAAATATTTGAAAAAAAATACACTCGCAAGTGTAAGAATACACTCGCAAGTGTGGATTCTTAATTTACGAATTCACTCGGCGCTTCCCATTTGTTATAACAATGCAAGGCTAACCCCTGACCGTTGTGAATTTCTGCGAATAAATTTAATGTAGTTTCGATCAATTTCGATAAAAAGAATGGAATAGTCCAAAACGGTTGATCCAAAACTGGGATCTAAAAGTGGCGTCGTAAATTTTTTTTTTTTTTTTTTTTGAAAAAAAATTTCCACCTAAGGTTCATATGTTAGTTCAGAGTTATTCTTTCAGAGATGTGTTTGGCAAGTAGTGAGAACTCTCCTCTCCAAAGTGAGAGGTTGTGGGTTCAAATCCCAGGTGGGTCTTTTTAGTCTAGTTTTATAGATTGAAACCTGTGAGTTAAGTTTATTAAAAACGTATTTCTACCGGGGGACCTGGATTGTGTAGTAGGTAGGTGTTGCGACCGGGAAGCGGCGGGTCCCCGGATCGAGTACAGCCCTCCGCCAACCCCCCCCCCCCAAACCAGCCCTCCGCCAACCCCCCCCCCCCAAACCCGCCCTCCGCCAACCTCCCCCCCCCCCACAAACCCGCCCTCCGCCTACCTCCCCCCCCCCCACAAACCTGCCTGGTCAAGCCCCTCCCCCCGATTTGTACTTGGGTGCGAATTTTTGGGTGCGAATTTTTGGGTGCGAATTTTTGGGTGCGAATTTTTGGGTGCGAATTTTTGGGTGCGAATTTTTGGGTGCGAATTTTTGGGTGCGAATTTTTGGGTGCGAATTTTTGGGTGCGAATTTTTGGGTGCGAATTTTTGGGTGCGAATTTTTGGGTGCGAATTTTTGGGTGCGAATTTTTGGGTGCGAATTTTTGGGTGCGAATTTTTGGGTGCGAATTTTTGGGTGCGAATTTTTGGGTGCGAATTTTTGGGTGCGAATTTTTGGGTGCGAATTTTTGGGTGCGAATTTTTGGGTGCGAATTTTTGGGTGCGAATTTTTGGGTGCGAATTTTTGGGTGCGAATTTTTGGGTGCGAATTTTTGGGTGCGAATTTTTGGGTGCGAATTTTTGGGTGCGAATTTTTGGGTGCGAATTTTTGGGTGCGAATTTTTGGGTGCGAATTTTTGGGTGCGAATTTTTGGGTGCGAATTTTTGGGTGCGAATTTTTGGGTGCGAATTTTTGGGTGCGAATTTTTGGGTGCGAATTTTTGGGTGCGAATTTTTGGGTGCGAATTTTTGGGTGCGAATTTTTGGGTGCGAATTTTTGGGTGCGAATTTTTGGGTGCGAATTTTTGGGTGCGAATTTTTGGGTGCGAATTTTTGGGTGCGAATTTTTGGTGCGAATTTTTGGGTGCGAATTTTTGGGTGCGAATTTTTGGGTGCGAATTTTTGGGTGCGAATTTTTGGGTGCGAATTTTTGGGTGCGAATTTTTGGGTGCGAATTTTTGGGTGCGAATTTTTGGGTGCGAATTTTTGGGTGCGAATTTTTGGGTGCGAATTTTTGGGTGCGAATTTTTGGGTGCGAATTTTTGGGTGCGAATTTTTGGGTGCGAATTTTTGGGTGCGAATTTTTGGGTGCGAATTTTTGGGTGCGAATTTTTGGGTGCGAATTTTTGGGTGCGAATTTTTGGGTGCGAATTTTTGGGTGCGAATTTTTGGGTGCGAATTTTTGGGAGCGAATTTTTGGGAGCGAATTTTTGGGAGCGAATTTTTGGGAGCGAATTTTTGGGAGCGAATTTTTGGGAGCGAATTTTTGGGAGCGAATTTTTGGGAGCGAATTTTTGGGAGCGAATTTTTGGGAGCGAATTTTTGGGAGCGAATTTTTGGGAGCGAATTTTGGGAGCGAATTTTTGGGTGCGAATTTTTGGGAGCGAATTTTTGGGTTACTACTCGATTCAATGTTACTACTATGTTTCATTACTACTTTTAACTCGATAAAATGCGAACCCGATAAAACAGGAATTTTTTAATATTGTTACTATATAAACAAGATTAAATGCAATCACGATAAAATAGTTCATTTTATTATTGTTACTAGATAATATTGTTCTATATTATTGTTACTATATAACTAGATAATATTGTACTATATTATTCATGTGGTTCTCTATTATTCTATATCCTCTATTGTTTGTAATAACACAGTAATAATTCACTCTTTCAAATCTGAGGTTTATCTTTGCCTGTTCTCTCTTTTTATTTCAGTATATATTCAATCTTTAATATTCACCAACATTTTTTAGTCACTTACCTTTTTTATAAACTTTGCCAGCAAATAAAACTCGTACAACTCGTGCATTAAGACACGATAATCAGGGTTTTTTTTTTGGTTTTTTTAACTCTAGGACAAATATGACTAAAGTTCATTAAACATAAGATCATTAATCATTAAGAGTAGAAAAGCAAAAGTACTGGTGAACTAATTACAGAGCTAAATCCATTAAAATGTCATCCACATTTGAAAATAAACAATCTGAACTCCTTTTTCAATCTTATTTCCAAAACGTTAATGGGTTGGACTTGCTTAAGTAAAAAAATAACATTAACATAACATATTCAAAACGTTACGTGGATTGCCTCTATATTTTATATAACAATAAATGGTTTGAAATTAGAGTGAGTGTTCATCAAAATTTTGTAACGGTAAAGATAAAGGTAATAAGCCATTATTATAACATAAAAATAAAATACGTTAAGTGGTAAACCTTCAACTTTAATTTCTGAGAAAATTCAACTTTAAAATGTTCAACTTTATTGTCCACGTAAATCCTATGGTAAAATTATCCTACGAGACATTGTTTAGACACATCACTGTTGGAGATGACCCGCATCATGTCCTACTTCTGTGGCGTATTCTTTCAAAGGCGAACGTGTGAATTGTAACTTTTCATCTATAGGCCTCTCATAAAATAAATCGGTTCGGGCACACAGAACAGCAGCATGTTGTGTAACTCCTCTTCAGTGTCAGCTCAAGCTGGGCCAAGTAATGCAGGCTCCTTGCATCTCGAGCTTGAAGATGCAGTCCTCAAACCCCTGAAATTAAAAAGACAAAATCCAAGTCAGAAAGCTTGAAATCAAGGATCATCTGCTTTAGTACGGTCAGTGGCCGTGTCATGCACAGAGCCCTGTTTCACTTCAGTTTCTTGCCTAGGGATCACGCACACATGTCCCGAAAGTATTCGCAAAATTTTATGAGACTGCATTGGAGACATCATAAATACGCGATTAGTACCTGAAGACTGCACTGTTCGGCCAAGAAAGCAAGATAAGTGAAAATGTGTGCTTGATTTTGATGTCAAATACAACTGCTTTTGACAAAATTGAAGTGTTGTAACGGCACATCAAACAAAAATCATAATAACAACAAAAGCAAGGGCAGATTGTTCGTACCTGTACATTCAACTCTTACAAAAGGCCGATACAAATGGCAAGTTTCAGTAGGTAGAGGATAGTGTAGGCTTCATACAGGAACCTTATATAGTTTTGGTCCAAATCGCCGGTCTTTCAAATGGGAGAAACTAAATTTCAAAGATTTGCCCGCCAACGAAATCAGCATTCCTATGTGATAGGGGCATTAGCTTTTAGCTTGCTAAAAGATGAGCATGTTTGACAAAACGTAGTGTTCCAATTGACTTTCACAAAAGATACAACGATCTCATCCTAAAAACCGCAAGGAAGGCAATTGAGGAACTACTGTAGAACGTTTTTATAACGGACATCATGAGATCCACAGAAATTGTTTGTAATAGCCATCTTTTGGTATAGCGATTTTCACATTAGTGGCGACCTCTTTTGATCATTGTTAATGTGTAGTTGCATTTACAAACCACGCCTGGAGTCGCTTAACATGTCCATTAATATTTTCAATTCCGTAGCAGAACTACTAGTTACTGAAAGACGACTTTCAACACGTGCGATTATTGACTTACACAGTTTTTGAGCTTACATGCTTTTTCCTACTATTTGTTGGGGAAATAGCCATTTGTCGTTCTTCTGTTGACATTTCCGACAACAATGTTCGGTACCTTTTGTACATAAAAATTGGGAGCCAAGGCCGATGTTCGGTATAGCCAAATGTTCGGTATAGCAGTGTTCAGTATAGGGACGTTCCACTGTATTTGATTGACGGTTCAACTCACCTCTGCTGAACCATTCGATCGACTCTTCTTTTTGGGCTGAATGTCTTCCTTTCTGAAATCAACAAAAAAAAATTCACAATAAGTTTAAGGTTCAGGCAAGAAAAGGTTTCAGGTTTAGCTCAACTACGGATCCTCTACACAAGTATAAAAGACTCCTCTGGGCTTGTGTACGATGCAAAAAAGATGTAGAATAAAATGCGAGTGTCATCATCGCCGACATAAATGTGACCGCTGAAAGACTGCAGTAGACTTTTGAACATCAAAGAAGGGCAAGTCGAAATAAAATGAAATAACCAAAATGTGAGCTCTTTTAAATCGTTTTTTTTTCCTCAAAATACCAAAAAAAAATTCGATACGACAGTTCATGGTGTAACTGATGATAAGTTTGTACAGTTAAGATTGTTCTACTTCAAAACAAGCATTTTTTTTGCAATTTTTTGATTACCACTGAATGATTTTGCATCAATATGGCAGAGAGCTTAGTGTGCGAGTGTAAGACCATGTCAGTAAAAGAATAAAGTTGTCTTACTTTTTTCGTTGATGGATCCGCAGTAACGTTGCTCTAAGTAGATGGTGCATCTCTGATGCAGCTTGCGCCGTTGCTTTTCCACCAGGAGTCCATAGGCTGTTTCATGAAGTGTAGCTGGCTCGAATCATAACAGCCCATTCTCATAGATGAAGACTCCTGCTGAGATGAGGCCTCCTATGCTCTCAAGGACCTGGTGGGGAAATATCAAATCATCGGTCAGATGGCAAATCATCAACATGATTAAACTTATTGAAATATGCTTATTACAAGAGGAGATTAAAACTGTTAAATGTAAGGGAGGGAGGAGAACCAGATTTAAAAGACTCAAGAGTCTCGAAGTAAAAGATCAACCACAGAAATTGGCAAATTGGTAACAAGTAGTTACTGAAAGATGACTTCCAACACGTGCGATTATTGAATTACAAAGTTTTTGAGCTTACATGTGTGGCTTTTTCCTACTATTTGTTGGGGAAATAGCCATTTGTCACTCTTCTGTTGACATTTCCGACAACAATGTTCGGTACCTTTTGTACATACAAACTGGGAGCCAAGGAAGATGTTCGGTATAGCCGAATGTTTGGTATAGCGGTGTTCGGTATAGGGACGTTCCACTGTATTTGATTGACGGTTCAACTCACCTCTGCTGAACCATTTAACTCTTCTTTTTTGGCTGAATGTCTTCCTTTCTGAAATCAACAAAAAAAGAATTCACAATAAGTTCAGGCAAGAAAAGGAATGTCAGTTTACACATTTCTAACTGTATTGGTAAGACGAAACGCTTTATCCTTTGCAGACTTCAGTGAACCGTTTAAGAAATATTGCCCATGCTTCTTCCAGGTTCCCCAGAAAATAGAGAACTTGAAAAGTTGCTAGTTAATAGCAAGTCAGAAGTCAATTTCTTTCAAATGAGACACTGAATAAAAACACGTTTTACGTTTAGCTCAACCATGGGTCCTCTACACAGGGTAGAAGAAAATGCGAGCGCCATCATCACCGACAGAAATGTGACCACTGAAAGACTGCAGTTGCGTGCCGAGTCTCACACATGCACGCACGGCGCGCAAGTACTTGCCATATCACGCCTCAACCAGAAATTTGGTGAAGTCATTTACCCTTGTGTTGAGAATCCATGGTTGAATTGTTTTAGATTCAGGAGCAAGGACAGAACATCTTGACTGCTACATGTATACAGTTAACAAGTTAAGTCTTATTTGCAATAACATTTTATGTACAAAACTGACACCAGAAAACTGGTATTTTAAAAGCAATAAGTGTAACTCCGCCTAATACAAACAGTGCCTGTATACCTACATGGTTGTAACACATGCATGGGAAATATGTGCTTTTCAGATGGGAGCTTTTTGGCTGTTTTAACTCAAAGGCCTGATTATATAACATTGGACAATAAAAATTCTTAAATATTGTCTGCTGCCAGCCAAGAAAGCTCATTAGATAGGCAGGTCAACAGTGTAAAAGGTTACTGAGCATGGCAGATGCTGTGGGCAAACCCCCAAAGTGGGCAAGACAGCTTTTCGAAGCTGTAACATCGATGAAGCCCAGATAAGCACATCAGAACAGCTTTTTGCAGGGTGGGTGGGATGGCAAGTGAGTGAGTTGTCACATTTGAAAGGGAAGTTTTTCTCAAAAAAAAATTTTTTAAGTTGAAAAAGTTTTTGGATTTGCTTTTTTTTTAATGCAGTGGAACAAAAATGGTTTTTAAATTCAGCAGCAGACTCTTCCTAAAAACCGCAAGGAAGGCAATTGAGGAACTACAATGGAATGTTGCTATAACGAATATCGTGGGAACCACAGAAATTGTTTGTAATAGCGATTGTTCGGTACAGCGATTTTCACATCAGTGGTGACCTCTTTTGATCATTTTTGTTATTGCGTAGTTGCATTTACAAACCACGAGCAGAGTCGCTTAACATGTCCATTAATATTTTTTTCAATTCTGTAGCATAACTACTAGTTACTGAAAGGCAACTTTGAACACTTGCGATTATTGAATTACAAAGTTTTTGAGCTCAAATGGGTGGCTTTTTCCTACTATTTCTTGGGGAAATAGCCATTTGTCGCTCTTCTGTTGACATTTCCAACAACAATGTTCGGTACCTTTGTACATAAAAATTGGAAGCCAAGGATGATGTTCGGTATAGCCAAATGTTCGGTATAGCGGTGTTCGGTATAGGGACGTTCCACTGTATTTGATTGACGGTTCAACTCACCTCTGCTGAACCATTCGACTCTTCTTGTTTGGCTGAATGTCTTCCTTTCTGAAATCAACAAAAAAAAATTCACAATAAGATTAAGGTTCAGGCAAGAAAAGGTTTCAGGTTTAGCTCAACCACGGATCCTCTACACAAGTATAACAGACTCATCTGGGCTTGTGTACGATGCAAAAAAGATGTAGAAGAAAATGCGAGCGTCATCATCTCTGACAGAAATGTGACCACTGAAAGACTGCAGTTGCGCGTCGAGTCTCGCACATGCACGCATGGCGCGCAAGTACTTGCCATATCACGCCTCATTCAGAAATTTGGTAAAGTCATTTACCCTTGTGTTGAGAATCCATGGTTAAATTGTTTTAGATTCAGGAGCAAGGACAGAACATCTTGACTGCTACATGTATACAGTTAACAAGTTAAGTCTTATTTGCAAGAACATTTTATGAACAAAACTGACACCAGAAAACTGGTGTTTTTAAAGCAATAAGTGTAACTCAGCCTAATACAAACAGTGCCTGTATATCTACATGGTTGTAACACATGCATGGGAAAAATGGGCTTTTCTGATGGGAGCTTTTTGGCTGTTTTAACTCAAAGGCCTGATTATATAACTTTTGACAATAAAAATTCTTAACTATTGTCTGCTGCCAGCCAAGAAAGCTCATTAGATAGGCAGGTCAACAGTGTAAAAGGTTACTGAGCATGGCAGATGCTGTGGGCAAACCCCCAAAGTGGGCAAGACAGCTTTTTGCTGGGTGGGTGGGTGGGTGGGATGGCAAGTGAGTGAGTTGTCACATTTGAAAGGGAATGTTTTCGTGGAAAATTAAAAAAAAAAGTTTTAAGTTGAAAATGTTTTTGTTTTGGTTTTTTTAATGCAGTGGGAACAAAACTGGTTTTTTAATTTCAGCAGCAGACTTTTGAACATCAAAGAAGGGCAAGTCGAAATAAAATAACAAAATTTGCGTAATGTTTTTCTTCAAGCAGCACTGAAAAATTGTATACAATTGCACATGATACAAATTGTTTCAATTTTGGGGAAAAACACAGCAAATCAATGTACAGAAGGCCGTGGAAAATGACGGCCAACAGTGTTTCCTCGCAATGAAACGATCAAAACTTCAGATATTAAATAATTTGCATGAAATGTCAGTCGCACCACGAACCGTCGTATCGCAATATTTTGGTGTTTTTGAGGGGAAAAAAAACGATTTTAAATAGCTCATATTGTAAATAGCTCTTATATACTTCCTGTGAAAGTATTCAGTTTCATTTCAGCTAGAAAATTATAGTTTAAATTTCATCGCACGCAATCTGTTTGCTCTTTGAGTTGCATAGTTTTTAAGATATTCAGTTTTTTAAGATATTCAGTTTCCAAGATACAAGTCACTTTGTAAAACTTACCCGATTGTATTTCATACAACGCACGTAATAGTGGCCACATGGCAGATACGAGGATACGCCTGTTCGTGCAACGATGAATTCACACCTTTCTTTTAGAGATACGCTGCATAGTCTAATAAGCGTTCTGAGTTAATTACGACTCAGATTGGAATAAAAATGTGTGAGAATGAGCACTTTGACGAAATGAAAACCTTGATGACAAAAAAGTCAATTTGGCCAAAAAATCGAGATACGACAGTTCATGGTGCGACTGATGATAAGTTTGTACAGTTTAGATTTTTCTACTTCAGAACAAGCATTTAAAAAAAAAAAATTTGATTACATGAATGATTTTGCATCAATATGGCAGAAAGCTTAGTGTGCCAGTGTAAGACCATGTCAGTAAAAGAATAAAACTGTCTTACTTTTTTCGTTGATGAATCCGCAGTAACGTTGCTCTTAATGTAGACGGTGTATCTCTTATGCGGCTTGCGCCGTTGCTTTTCCACCAGGAGTCCCTAGGCTGTTTCTTGGAGTGTGGCCGCCTGGAATTGTAATAGCCCATTCTCATGGATGAAAATCCTGCTGAGATGAGGCCTCTTATGCTCTCAAGGACCTGGTGGGGAAATATCAAATCATCGGTTAGATGTCAAATCAGCAACATGATTGAACTTGATGAAATATGCCTATTACAAGAGGAGATTAAAACTGTTAAATGTAAGGGAGGGAGGAGAACCAGCGCAGTGCATGTCCAACTCATGTTCCAACAGATTTCAAATACTTGAGTCTTGAAGTAAAAGATCGAGTTCTAACACTTACATCTCCATGATGTCGCAACCACAGGAATTGGCGAAACTGGACAAGAACTGGTAGTGGCGCAAATCTGTGCCGGCAAGTGGGTGATGGAGGATGACCAAGATCCTAAAATTGCCCAGCCGTGGAAATTTGAAAGGGGCGGGGCGGGGTGGAATGAATGGACACCACATTACACTACGGGGTGCTCTTCAGGATAAAGATGTATCAATATGTATACTCGTGCTTACATTTTTGGAATTTGTTTCTACACTTTTTCAGTGCTATTGAATGAATTTCAGTTGGACATTCAGAAAATACCTCAAAATTCGCTTTTTTTTCTTATCACAAAAAAAGTGGCGGGGTTGATTAAATAGCCCATCTCCCTGGTCAAAAAGGGGGGAGGATATTCCCCCCCCCCCCCCCCCCCCGGATTTACGCCTCTGAGAACTGGACAAGGACTAGATGGCTACTGCTCTGAACATGGAGCTCGTGTTGGGGACTTACAGGGGACTGCAACAATTGTGATAGACACTGGAAGGTCCTGACAGAAGGGCAAAGTGCACCGATTGTTTTGAGACTGTTAAAAACAACGGGGAGACTCTTCCGTCCTATTCACAGCAGGGTAAGGACGCTGTGAGTTCGGGGCGTGGACTCCACTCGAACGGCCTGGATGCGGAGCCGATGAGAAGGCAGTCGGTAGCATCGTTGTGAGAACTGCATGCACGGAGCTGCATCGGGACTGTCTTTCACTCATGAGTCTCTCATTCTATGCCGCGTTAAACACAGTGCCTTCGCAGACCTCCGCCCATTGCTAGCATGGATAAGCACGTGATAGACTTGGTGCCAATAATTTGGACATGATGAGGAGGGGTGGGGATGGGAGTGTAAGCCACTTTTGTCTTAAATAGAGCTTCCAGAGAATGGCTGGGACGAGGACGGGGCATGTACATGTATATACGCGGATTATAGTCTGGGATCAAAGGCTGGAGCCACAATTTTTTTGTAATTTCTTGAGTCCTAGCCACTTTTCAATGTTTTTGTTATGACAATTGTATCATGCATGGGGCTACAGAACGGCATATGGGCTTTAGATTCACGAGTATGTAGAAGGACCAAAAACTACAGAATACTACATGTTTTGTGCACACTTGTATGGAAAGAAATGCATACTACAGGTTACTACTCAGTAGTATTTTGTAGCTTTAGGTGAGGTTCTGAAGGGTTAATTAATGCTACATGTCTAAAGTTAAAAAGTGAAGCCTATGCAGGAATGATGAAAATTTTGTTTGAAATTGCAGGAGAAATCGCGGAAGCAAAGTGTCCTTACAATTTTTTTTTTTTTATACTAAACGCTTTCAAGTTGCTGAAAGCAAGTCCATGTTGACATCGCGTTATAGCCAATATGAAATTTTGTTATGAGATATAATTCCACTAATGGAATCATGCCACGTAGACTTCACATCAGATTGGACGGCTGCACGCCTTTTGTGGCTTCGTTCGCCTCTCGTACGTGTGTACGCAAGACTGCAATTTGCTCTAGAGATTGGAGAATGTGAACATTTTCCAAAAACAAAATGGGAATTTCTTCCAGTGAAATCTCAATATGATATTCAGGGAATTCTTTGTAAAAAACCTTGGGAAGTTGACTACGATTTTCCAATTGATATCGCCACAAGAGGCCAACCTGACGACCACAGAGAAGCGTAGAGAACATCAACACGACAGTGGTTGAACCATGTTCCTTGCTCTATGGTTGAACTTATGAACTTCTTACGATAAAACATGTCTCAAAAATCATCCGAAAACATTTTGATTGGGGACCACTTAAACATGTATCGTTCCTTACATGTATTGGCTCCAGTCGTGCCGACCGACCCAATGTTTACTGTAAATGAATAATATTATCTTACTTTTTTCCTTGATGAATTCATGGTGACGTTGCTCTAAGTAGATGGCGTATCTCTCATGCAGCTTGCGCCGTTGTTTTTCCACCAGGAGTCCATAGGCTGTTTCATGAAGTGTGGCCGACTGGAATCGTAATAGCCCATTCTCATGGATGAAGATCCTGCTGAGATGAGGCCTCCTATGCTCTCAAGGACCTGATGGGGAAATATCATCAAATCATTGGTTAGATGTCAAATCAGTGACTTGATTGAACTTAAGTTAATAACACAGTTTTCACTTTGGCATGCAAAAACACAGTTCAATTTCCAAGAAATTTTCTTTGATAATAAATGCTCCTTCCCCTACAAAATAAAAATGAAATTCTGAGAGACAGTTCACATCTGAAGAATGACAGGCCCCGTTTTTGCATGTGGAACGTTAATGTTCAGTATTTTTATGGTCATGCAGCAGGCATTGATTACGTCTCCTCCACTTCTTTATAAGCGTCTTCCTTCGCTTGAAACAAACCCTGCACCACGTGGCCGCCATTCATGAATATAGGAACAATTCATTTCTGGACTTTAGGGGTCTGAGGAACTCATTGTTCATGACAAGATGGAGTGAGAGACTTTGAGTAGTTCCTGATCCGATCAGGACTACCCTGCTAAATTCAACAGAGTTCAACCGGATTTGCTCTGTTCAATCCTTATTTTCAGTTGCCTGCTGAATCCAACGGAGGCCAACTTGGCGTTATAATGCTGTTCAGTTGCCTGCTGAATCCAACATTTTGCATCAGGAATGTACACAAGGAATTTACTGCTCAATCCAACAGGCTCCATCAGGTATATGATATAGTTGGATCCTGTTGGATTCAGCAGGGTTAGGGTTGGACAAACACAACAAAGGGGTAAAAATCATCTGCTTTCATAAGACTTTCATTGAGTGTTGCACTATAAAAATTAAGAACCACGTTTGCAATTAGCAAATTTGAGAAGTTGCAATGCATTCGACTTGCGCCCCCGTGCCCCCCCCCCCCTCTAGAATTTACATGTATGACATACAAGTCATGAGTCTGCATGTATTTAATGTCGCCAACTAGTTTGGTAGGTCAAATACATTAAAAGTGGAGTTTGTTAAGTGGAGTTTGTTCCCTCAAACTAAGGAACCGGGCCCTTACACACAATGATCGCCAGGGATGGCACCCCTCATTTCATCAATCATTGTGAATTTATGAAATATACTCTTCACTTCAGGAAATAAGAACTCCCAAAATTTATGAAAACAAATAGCTTATGTTTTGAAGAAGCAGTTTTGTAGCCTCCACAGATGTGTAAAGTACCCGTTTCTATGTCATTTACATGTATCGTGGACACACAAAAAGTTAAAGAGTTTTACATTTTCAAAATGCGAGATGTTTGATGCTTTGTTTGTACATACAGATTTTACAGTCACTTCACGTAATTTCAACTTCGCCGACAACCACTTCACCTATTCGAGTCACCAACGTCGAGTCTGTGTCAAAGTCCCGAGTCACAAGCCTCGAGTCTGAGTCACGTGTTCTTAGTTGTTCACCAAACTACTCATTTTTTTTTTTCAATTATGTTTCCATCATGCATTCTGTCTTTTAAGTAAATCCCAGTGTATGATTTACGCTGTGTGTGAACATGCTGCTTGACCCAAAATGTGTTTTCCTTTTAATTCTCATCCCTAAAAAACCCTCCTCCATCCCTTCCCTCCATGTTTTATCATCCAACATTATTCAACCATGATTCTCCAAGGCACCATGTTTTGTCTATGGAGTAGAAAAGAATGCTACATTTGTCGCAAAAATACATTGGTTTTTTCTTTTGATGAAAATATGTGACTCAAGTCACGAGTCACCATACAAGCTCAAGTCCAAGTCATCATGGTCGAGTCCGAGTCATTTTCCCATGTGGCTTGGAACAACTCCACCCTTGGGACAACTCCACCGTTGGGACAACTCCACCATTGGGACAACTCGACCGTTGAGACAACTCGACCGGTGACAACTCGACCGTTGGGACAACTCGACCGTAGAAACAGCTCAACCATTGAGACAACTCGACCGTTGGGACAACTCGACCGTTGGGACAACTCGACCGTTGGGACAACTCGACCGTTGAGACAACTCCACCGTTGGGACAACTCGACCGTTGGGACAACTCGACCGTTGGGACAACTCGACCGTTGGGACGACTCGACAGTTGGGACAACTCCACCGTTGAGACAACTCCACCGTTGGGACAACTCGACCGTTGGGACAACTCGACCGTTGGGACAACTCGACCGTTGGGACAACTCGACAGTTGGGACAACTCCACCGTTGAGACAACTCGACCGTTGGGACAACTCGACCGTTGGGACAACTCCACTGTTGGGACAACTTGACCGTTGGGACAACTCCACCGTTGGGACAACTCGACTGTTGGGACAACTCGACCGTTGGGACAACTCCAGCGTTGGGACAACTCCACCGTTGGGACAACTCCACCATTGGGACAACTCGACCGTTGAGACAACTCGACCGGTGACAACTCGACCGTTGGGACAACTCGACCGTAGAAACAGCTCAACCATTGAGACAACTCGACCGTTGGGACAACTCGACCGTTGGGACAACTCGACCGTTGGGACAACTCGACCGTTGAGACAACTCCACCGTTGGGACAACTCGACCGTTGGGACAACTCGACCGTTGGGACAACTCGACCGTTGGGACGACTCGACAGTTGGGACAACTCCACCGTTGAGACAACTCCACTGTTGGGACAACTCGACCGTTGGGACAACTCGACCGTTGGGACAACTCGACCGTTGGGACAACTCGACAGTTGGGACAACTCCACCGTTGAGACAACTCGACCGTTGGGACAACTCGACCGTTGGGACAACTCCACTGTTGGGACAACTCGACCGTTGGGACAACTCCACCGTTGGGACAACTCGACTGTTGGGACAACTCGACCGTTGGGACAACTCCAGCGTTGGGACAACTCCACCGTTGGGACAACTCGACCGTTGGGACAACTCCACCGTTGAGACAACTCCACCGTTGAGACAACTCCACCGTTGGGACAACTCGACCGTTGGGACAACTCCACCGTTGAGACAACTCCACCGTTGAGACAACTCCACCGTTGAGACAACTCCACCGTTGAGACAACTCCACCGCTGGGACAACTTGATCGCTGGGACAACTCGACCGTTGAGACAACTCGACCGTTGAGACAACTCCACCCTTGAGACAACTCCACCCTTGAGACAACTCCACCCTTGAGACAACTCCACCCTTGAGACAACTCCACCGTTGGGACAACTCCACCGTTGGGACAACTCCACCGTTGGGACAACTCGACCATTGGGACAACTCGACCGTTGGGACAACTCGACCGTTGGGACAACTCGACCGTTGGGACAACTCGACCGTTGAGACAACTCCACCCTTGAGACAACTCCACCATTGGGACAACTCGACCGCTGGGACAACTCGACCGTTGGGACAACTCGACCGTTGGGACAACTCGACCGTTGGGACAACTCGACCGTTGGTTTGTCGTCGTGTTCGGGTTTGATCATTGGGTTGGGGTTGCTTGACAGGATACAATTGGGTTAAGCTCGGCTGGGACTCCCATTTATGCTGGGGTTTTCCACGCTGGGGGAGAGAGAGCATTTGGCGGTCCAGTACGCGGTTGGGTATGCGCGGGATGGGGAGACGCAAACTTTTGGGGGTTTTTTTGCAGTGGGGATTTTGTTGCTGTGTCCAGCCATGGGTGGTGCGGGCCTGGTTGATGGGGCTGGGGTTGCTGGACAGTGTTGGCTTATTTTACTTTAGGAAAATGATGGCGCTATCCCATTCATTGGCACATGGGATGGGTGGACATACATGTAAGAGATCAGGTAGATTTCGGATAATTGCGTTGTCTCAACGGTTGAGTTGTCCCGAGTCTACTTGTCTCAACGGTCGAGCTATCTCAACGGTCGAGTTGTCTCAACGGTCGAGCTGTCTTGGGTCGAGTTGTCTCAACGGTCGAGTTGTTGATGTTTGTGTAGTTGCGGACCCAGTTCCTTTAAGGGAACGAAAATCTACTTTTAAACTTTGGGACTCACCTAAATAGATGACGTTGACACCCATCTTGTATATCTGCAGGATTACTTTTGCGGAAAGAGGGCAGGGTTTTGATTTTTGATGGAACTACAGTATGGGGTAAAACAACCACAGCTACAAAACTTACGACTATGGCGACCTATTTAAATAGTGCACCCTCAGGTGTTTACAATGTACAACTTCATTACAAGCTGGTTTGGTTAAACGTCGCTGATTCCTCGATGAAAAGTTCCATTTAGAAGCCAACTTTTGGACTCAGATGAGACCACCATATTGAATAATTGCAGGATTAATATTGTGGAAAGAGGGCAGGGTTTGGATATTTGAGGGAAATTATGGGGTAAAAGTGACGTCAATAAAAATAAAAATGCTGAAAACAAACTTGGTTGGTGATTGGCTGATGTAGAGCAGCCTGCTTCCCTTGTTCTAGTTCCACATTAATTAATACATGCTATTCAGTATATTTTGGTCTGGGAACCAGACTAGCTCCTATACCGCGGTGCAGTAAGTGTGTCGATTCACATCTTTGTTTAATACCGGAAAATCAGGTAAGAGAGCTGATTAAAAAATTAGGGTCAGTATAAGAAAACATTTCATGAGGTTGCAGACTTGGGGAAGCGACAAAACTTTTTAAAGAATATCATAGAAAGGTGGTGTCCTCAACTACACAAACTGGGACAGAAAGATTCCCATATCTGGCCATCAGTAATTTTTCCCTCAAATGACCTAATATGTCCTTAAAATGTCAAAATTAGCAAGGACAAATTTCGAATTTTTACTGAGAAAACACTGAAATTTTCAGACCAGTCCCATACGGTTTGTGCACAGGGTGACAAGTGATGGCTAGATAGTCCCATAAATGTGACGGTAATACTGGACTACCTCTGTATTAAACGTCACAAATCCACATGATTATTGGACGGAGAGTCCGTTGCTAAGGGAGCCAAAAATCCATTCGAAATCGCAATTATTTTGTCACTTTATACTCACACAATGCCTCCTACAACTGCTTAATATCAACAAAACGTTAAATTCGGCACCTTCAGAGGTCTAGTTATCTTGTAATTTCGAGTTGAATTCGGACGACTTTTACAGCCATTGTTCACGAAAGCGTCGTGTTGCATGACGTCATGGGTTGTGATAAATCGCGCCCTCACTAGCTTACATCAAATTTTGACAATGTACATTTGTACGGCTGTTGCCTGTCATTCAGTTTTGGTCAAAAGGACAGGGTGGGGACGGGAGTGTGAGCCACATTTGTCTTGAATAGAACTGCCTGGGAACGGCTTGGACTGGACGAGGATGGGACGAGGACGGGGTGGGGACGGGAGTGTGAGCCACATTTGTCTTGAATAGAACTGCCTGGGAAGGGCTTGGACTGGACAAGGATGGGACGAGGACGGGGTGGGGACGGGAGTGTAAGCCACATTTGTCTTGAATAGAACTGCCTGGGAAGGGCTTGGACTGGACGAGGATGGGACGAGGACGGGGTGGGGACGGGAGTGTGAGCCACATTTGTCTTGGATAGAGCTGCCTGAGACCAGCTTGGACGGGACGAGGACGGGACGGGGTGGGGACGGGAGTGTGAGCCACATATGTCTTGAATAGAACTGCCTGAGAACGGCTTGGACTGGACGAGGATGGGACGAGGACGGGGTGGGGATGGGAGTGTGAGCCACATTTGTCTTGGATAGAGCTGCCTGAGAACGGCTTCAGGAGAGTGGACAAGACATAAATGCTACATGTCTAAAGTTAACAAGTGAAGCCCATGCACGGTCATTTTATGCACAAAACAGACATCACAAAACGGGTATTTTTTAAGCCATAATTCCAACTTACAGATACAAACAGCATACTAACACATGCTCGGGGAAAAAGTGCATTAATGATGGTAGATTTTTGCAAAAGCAAGTTTTTTTGACATCGCTTAAGCCTAAAGGAAAATTTGTTATGCAATATTCCACCAACGGCCAGGTGCACTGTAGACTGCACATCAGATCCGAGGGCCGCACAACTTTTGTGGCTTTCGTTCGGCTCTCGTGCACGGTGCACGCAAGACTGCAATTGGCTCTAGACATTGGAGAATGTGAACATTTCCAAAAACAAAAAGGATATATCTTCCAGTGAAATCTCAAAATTACATTCAGGGAATTCTTTGTGAAGAACCATGGGGAAGTTGACGATGATTTTTCAATTGATATCACCACAAGAGGCCAACCTGATGAACCACATAGAAGCATAGAGAATGTCAACACGAAAGTGGTTGAACCATGTTCCTTGCTCTATGGTTGAACTTACAAACTTCTTACGATAAAAACGTATCTCAAAATCATCTCAAAACACTTTGATTAGGGACCACTTAAACACGCCTCACATGTATTGGCTCCAGAAAAAAGAAATAATAAAATGTCATGCCGACCAACGCCACCACATTTTTTCGAACCATGTTTTTCAAACCGCTTTTGTTGTCCTAATACCAAAGTGACTTTCTGTAAAAGAATAAAATTCTCTTACTTTTTTCTTGATGCATCCAAGGTAACGTTGCTCTAAGTAGATGGCGTATCTCTCATTCAGCTTGCGCCGTTGTTTTTCCACCAGGAGTCCATAGGCTGTGTCTAGAAGTGTGGCCAACTGGAATCATAACAGCCCATTCTCATAGATGAAGACTCCTGCTGAGATGAGGCCTCCTATGCTCTCAAGGACCTGGTGGGGAAATATCAAATCATCGGTTCGATGTCAAATCAATAACTTGATAGAACTTTACCCAATACAAGAGCAGGTTAAAACTGTTACGGGAAAGAAACCAGCGCAGTGCATGGTCAAATCAAGTTCCAACAGATCTCAAAGACTCGGACGTAAAAGAGTTCTGACGCAAACATCCTTCTGGTGTCACGTCCACAGAAATTGTCAAAACTGGACAAGAACTGGACAAGGACTTGACAGCTTGAGCTGGTATCTGTCAATAAAAGCTGCCCTAGTTCCCGACCCCCTATTATCGTTCAAAATGCACTTGTGTTTACTAACGTGATCCAGTCTACTCATTATCATAATAGATGCATCGCGCGCGCTCGGTAACGGAATCGCACTCGGGATACGTGGACCATCGAATGTACGCTGGGAATGAAGACCACATCGCGTCGTCCAAACATTAACACGAATCGGAAATTTAACGTGTTCACAATCGCAAGGGGATAGCTCTCGGAATTGAACGGGAAATTTCACTTTCCATCCGGATCGTAAGTAAACTTCAGTACAACCATCTTAATTATCGATGTCAACTTGTACCTCAGTTGGCGTATCTAGTAATTTGGAGGCTGTTTTGAGGGTGAAATCTGATGTTTTTGTTGGGCAATGTTGGGTTTTTGGGTAAATGACAGAATTGTGTTGCTCGGCATACATCATTAGCTTGGACCCCACTATCGCCAGACCATGTCCGAATGTTAAAAAGGCGATAAGTTGGGTCCAAGTTACTCGGACTAGCATGCACGGGGAAAATATATGTTGTTTTTGTGTGCATGTATTTTATCTGGGAAATTTAGTCATACAATTTTGTGCATGACAAATTCATATGACTACACGTGCGCCACTCAACCTTAAGGGCACTTCTTAACAAGGGGCACTCTTTACAAAATATTGGGGGGGGGGGTTAAGCACTGGTGAAAAATGCGCATTTGAATGGAAAAGGGGGGGGACCCCTTGCCCACCCACCCTTCCGACCACGCCTATGCCCCCCCCCCCCCACCCTAGTCCCATAAATGTGACGGAAATACTGGACTACCTCCGTATTTAACGTCACACATCCACCTGTGGTATAAACACGGAGTGTCCCCATTGCTAGGGGAGCCAAAAATTAATTAAAAATCGAAATTATTTTGTTAGCAGAAAAGCAAATGGCACAAAATCGTTAAATTCAGTACCTGCTGTCAACTACTCGTTTTTGCCGGCTGCGCTGGCTGTTGGCGCGTGACGTCACGCGGAAGCGTAACACCCGATGACTGTTTCATGCACTAATATGAGGTTTACCACTCGCATCACAGCTTTGGTACTGGAACCGCAACCAATTGTGCATGAAACAGTCATTGGGTGTTACGCTTCTGCGTGACGTCATGCGCCAACAGCCAGCGCAGCCGGCAAAAACGAGTAGTTGACAGCGCTCTGTGCCTGATAATCGACCGCCATTCATTGTACACAATTTTTTTTTGTGCACAAACCAATTGCGGTCCTGGCCATGCCAGCAAGTTAGCGGTTATTCCTCCTGTTTTCACTGCAATTGTAGGCTGAATCTTCATCGTGGATCGTTTTTTACTTCAAGGACCTGTGTAATGGTTATTCCAGGCAAGTTTGGGGTGAGTTGCAGTTGCAATTAGTGTGTAACGGGGACAAAATTGAACATTTTCCAAATTTTTTTGCCTATACTACAAGTTACGAGAAAAACTCGCTCCAGCCCTAGATGACAACCCAATGATAAAACTCAGGGCTGGGTAACTCCAGCTAGGACTACCCCCGCCCCCCCCCCCCCCCCCCAAAAAGGGAAATATCAATTTACACATCAATAAAACTAAAGTGTTAGACTTACTCACATTGAAGTAGGCTAACTGCTTGGTCTTTGGGAGGTTTGCAACACCCAATATCACATTAGCAAAACCACGGAGCGAGGAAAAAAACAGAAAGCATGCAAAACATACCTCGCACATCTGACAAGGTTTGGTTCCAGCAGATCCACACGACCGCCATATTGGCTGCAGGATTCCCAATTTTCAGAGGTCCAAAAACATCATTCAGAGTCCGTTGATGCAGAAATTAGTGGCTAAAATACTTCTTTGATTGTTCAAAAACGACAGGACATCGGTTGTACATTAGGATGCGTGAGTTAAAAAGAGAAATTTTCGGGTGAAAAATGGCTATACCGCGAACGAAACCACAAACGCAGACGACCGTGAGCAAAACACGCATGCGCGGCGAGCGGCGCGCAAAATTGAAAAGGAGGCCATAGCGCATGTGCGCCGCAGGCGCTTTGTAGGGCTGCATCCCAATCAACTGCCTAGAGCTAGGTCTAGGTCTGTGCCCATTGAAAATACGCGGGGACGCGCTGACTATAGACGTAGCCGTAGCTCTGGAAGCCCGTTTCGGACACGGCCCTAGATTTCACTTGGAACATTTCTACGGCACAAAACTTTTCTTTGAGGGGGGAAGTCTCTTTATGTTCCGGGCGGGGCAAAAGTAATATTGAAACATTAATCTAAAATTTGAAACCGTAGAATGTAATTATATTTCGCATAAATAATGACACCGTTCCTACGCATGTTTTATTTTTTTAAAACAATTTTGTATAATGCACTTGGGGCTATCACCCCCCCCCCCCTTAAAATATGCATTTTAGGCCTGCCGCCTTTTTTGTGCTTGTTTGTTTGTTTGTTTTTAATAAAGTACGAATTCAAAGTCCGCATTTTGAACAGAGGAATATCGCTAGAGTGAAAAGTTTAGAACTTGGCATAAACTGATCCAAAATAACCTGAAATGCAAACGTCGGTAGCCCGTAAGAAAACACTCGAGATTGATTGCAAGTTAGTGTGAAAATAACACTCGGTATAAAGTGTGAAGAGTTCACGGTGCTATAGACTGAACAAGACAAAAAAAATCGGAAATATTCCATTTGATGTGCGCCTGGGAAATAGTATAAATTGACATTAAATTGAAGTATGGCAAGTTTATAGCCGACCTCCCAATGGTGTTGGGATGTCTGGAAATAAGTCGAGCGCCGTCAATCATTTCTAAATCATCCCACTGCTCGGGTTCATCGGTAAACCCAAATATAGAGCAAACTTGCTGACTGCACATTTGCCCAATATTGCCAGAAGAGCTTTTATTGGTCCGAGTTTGTTAAAGCTGAACCACCTTCCGCCTAATTAAAAGACAGGTTTCAGGTATATGAAATCATCCGAAACCATGCATTTGTGTTCAAGGGAATCCGAGGACAAAACAAAATGAAAGGCATACAAGTGGAAATATTTAGATACCGTTTTGGAATCAGAAATATTGCAGCGATGTAGAAATTATTACTAAATGAAATAATAACCAAAGGCCTAGACCTTAAAGTTATTATTGCTTTATTATCACTTGAGGGATTTTCCACAATGGTTGCATAGCGCATTGGTAAGGAAAAAAGGGGCAATATAAATATCGGTGCCTTTCTCTTTCCAAGTAAAGTACTTGTAAACCATTGTGCAAATTCACTCAAGCAGTATTCGCGATAGGCCTAATACTTCTTCCAATTTTTTTTTGTTTTTGAAGATTTTCATATGCATAAATTCGGTGACCGTGGCTTCTATTTTGGCTGCAGATTGTGTTTTCCCCATGTGAGTGGAAACGACCACACCAAAGTTAATGTTATTCCGAGAATCTCGTTTCATTTCCAGATTTTGAGGTTGGATCCACGAAGGAATTCACACCAACAGGTGAGCAGACAGCTTCTTGATTAAGACGAAGTATCCGACAGTCGAACTGGAAGCAACAAAATGTTCACTACATCTCCCTGTGGGGAATGCAAGCTAGCACCCAGCACGCGATCATATTCATTTAGGAAGTATCAGTGAGTGTCAATGACTTCTCAGCGACAATCATGTTTGGAAAAAAAATGTTTCTCAGAATCAAGACGTTGTTTTGATATAAAAGGCTAATGTTACACAGCTGGGAACATAGTATGGAAAATATAATATATGAATGAAATAAAATGCACCTCAGTGTCTCATTTAATCATAGTTTCAATTTTCGTTTTGCCATTTTCAAGGGTGTTTTGGTGCCTTTTTTTATGCTAATGCAAATTTCTATATTCATGAGCGAAAGTGTTATGACATTTCAGGCAGAAATTTCACTGATAATTACAGCTATTTCAGCACAAAAAGAATTTTAGATATTTCGCTGTCGTAAATGTTCTTTTGCTTGGTGATTCGTTGTTGTTCAAGCCAATGAGAAAAATTTTCTCACAAATATTTTCAATTTTTGAGTTCACAATTTGAGCCAAAACAACCGTAAACCGAACAGTGTCTTCCTGAAATGAAATCACTGCAACAGCGCCTGCAGTTGTCCGGAAAATCAAAGATTTTTCTTTTAATGTTTAAAGGGGAGCACTTTCACAAAAATTTAACCAAAAATGCATGTCGAGTATTTTTCTTACATTTAAAGGGAATGTACAACATTTGCTTTTGCTGCAATTTTTGGAAATACATGTAGATGGATTTGGAGGATTAATATGTTATAGCAAATAATGTTGAAATGACTTGTTTCACGTTTTGGGCTTGTAGATGCTTGGAAAAGCCATGAAAACCAATCGTGTTCTTGTAGTCTGGTTCCCTGACCCACTTTAGATGAAACGGAGCAATCATGACTTTGCAAAATTGTAAGGTCAGATAATCAGTCTAGCAGGCTTGTACCCCTTCACAGGTGTGTAAACAATTGCAAAGAAAACGCGGAATAACTAATTATGAAAAATTGGGAGCAGTTTTTGAAAAAAGCCAGTTTTCTCCAAAGCTGGTCGGCTGACCAGCGTTGGAAAAATACAATTTTTCTTGAAAATGACAGCACACCAGGAGTCACAATTTTACAGGATGCTTTAGACTGTCATTCCCTAACAATCTAGTGAGGTAATTCGTGATTATTTGATCATTTCGTTTTGTGATGTTTGCAAATGTTGTATCTTCCCTTTACAGAGGAGTGGAAAGCTTAATTTGGCAAATATAACTGTTCACCATTTGGTTGTTAGCGTCTGCACTTCCTTTCCATTGAAACTGACACAATATAAAATAGTTTGGATTCACAAAAAAAATATTTTCTCCCAACTGAACTGTATTTTCATGTCCTTTCCATACACACTTGTACAAAAAATCTAACTTAACTCCAGGCTTACAGAATATGCAATATTACAAAAATATATTTATTTAAAAAAAATACCAATACACGAATATAATATTATACATGTTGTATTAAGAGTAGTTATACATTGTATAAGATTGTGTATATACATGAAAGCCTTGTGTATATGCAATGTATTATTTTGTTCCTTCAAATGTGCATATTTAAATGTTCATGTATACCAACTTTTGAGTTTGCATAAGACACAGAACGTAAGATTAAACACAACTGCTTCTTTGCATGGTATCCCCAAGAGACATCCCCTATGTTATTATCAGCAAAAGATTTGGGGTGCAGACCTGTATATAGGCCCAAAATTGCCTACGCGAGCCAAATCACAATTTGTAAGCCCTCAAATTCTTTGCTATTAGAGCATTTTGTGGGCCATGAACTTGAGGGTTTGTATAAAAAGATGGGTGGAAGCCGTGTACTGGAGTGTGAGCTCTTATTTCTGTGACATTCGCATGACATTGGGCCCTAAACCTGATCTATTTTGCAATGAAGCACAGGCATCGGTTTTCAAAATGGCGATATGGGCCACAGGACTACTTTTTGGGGTGATCATCTTTGGATGGTATTTTCTCCCAAAAGTCATGGGATAATTGAACAAAAGTTGAACAGAAAATGAATGATGATGAAATAAGCTTGAATTTTATGGGTGTCTCAAACACCTTGGATAGTGGTGAGTATTTTTAGTACTTTTCGGAAGTACGCATAATTATCACTGAGGTCTATGGAAGTCGATTTGCAGGTCTGCACCCTTAGATGAATCCCAGCACGTGATGACTGCATACTCACGAGGCCCCCCTTAATGGAGAAACCACTGTGCTAGCTATTGTACAAAGCAACTGCCCCATGACAGATTATCTGAACAATAGCTAGCACAATGCTTGCGACATTGGAGGGGGCCACAGTGATACGGATTATTCTATGCATAACACATTAAAACCATTTGATCAAGTCATCTTCCATATTCAATTTAAATAACACTCTTCAAATATACCATCACTTACTTAAAACAGAATCCTATAAACATTAGAGGCACTTGTCCGAAACTTCCTATTAAAGTCTTATTATTAACAAAAAAACACCTAGATTTTTATTTCCAAATATTTGGGGTTTCAACTTAAAAAAAAAGGTTATACAAAATAATATCAGTATTAACATTGTACAAAGATTCCTGCACAAATGTATTACCCAAATTTATTTTGGTAGGAAACCGTTGGAAAATTCAAATTGTGATCGTTTGCTTGAAATGGAACAACTTGCTTTGTAAAGATAAAAAATTCTTCAAATATACAAATACTACAAAAATTGCAAAGAAATTTCCATATTGTGCATTATAATAAATACTAAAAGTTGATTCTTTTTACATGTTAGTAAAAAAAATGGATGCAGAACTTTCGTTGTATTTTACATTTTTAGGCAAAAGAAGTGAGAACAGGAAAGAATGGGAAAGGCAACTATTTGTAAGTGAAAAAGAAAAAGGCAAGAAATACAAAAATTAACCATTTCGCGCCGGATGATGTGTTTACACGCAGAGGTTTTTAGGTATTCGGAACGGATGACAGATAAACAAGCAGGGAGCGAGGCCGGAAATATCTGTCAGCGACCCGCTCGCAGCGAGCGAGGCCGGAATTTTTAAAGTTTCCTGCCCGAGGGTGATGGTTTCAACCCGCCTAGCTTGAGGGCGAGTGAAGAATAGACCCGCGCCTCGTTCTGTTCTTGTCAAAATAATCCTGGCATGGACTAGTTCAGTCCAAAAAATGTGACACTGTTCTTTTTTTTTCAAACAGTAGAGGATTTTGCAGGATTCGGCAAGTTTTCAGGTGAAAATTCCAAGGTAGTTAGGGTAAAGACAGTGATGGAATGTTCGATTCATACCAGATATGTTACAAAGTTAGTTTCCTACGAGCACGCAACTGCCAGGTAACCTAACTAAGAGGAAATTTGAAGCTTCATACTTCATACTTTATACTTTAATGGACCTTTTTTTGCCTGTTGCGTGCCTGTTCCTAGCATGTTTTGCAATGCTCAACAGCGTCTTTTGAGCAAATCTTGCACGACTTATGGCGCAAAGAACTTGCCAAATTGTATTGATAATCCTCAAATTTCAAGGAGATATGCTTCCACACATGGACTAAAGCGTCATCTTCCGCTATTTTTTTCCTTAATACTTAATGTGAAACAGTCACCAATAACTTAGAGTTTATATTTACTAGCTGTTAGCTTACCTACAAAGTATACATGTACATTTACATTGTACTAATGCTTAAAAACAAATTGCGGTATCTTTTCCAAAGGAATCAAGTTGCTGGACCAGCCATCACGTTTCTATCAATCTGAGTGAAACTTTCACTGTCCAGCAGTGTGTGTTTAGAAAACAAATAACATTCCTTCTATAACGGAAAGGCCCTAAAAGTCGGAACGTTCCCGTTCCGTATGGAATGTTCCTTATAGGAACACCATCGGGGATGCACTCTGTTCCCAGCGTGGTCCCAACTGGAACAGGCCGTTCCCGAATTGGCCTTTAGTCAAGGCCCGCGTGGCTATATATACACGGACGTTTGGCCGGTGCCAGGCCCCGGATGCTTGCATGAAACAAGGCCAGCGCGAGGGGCGAAGCCACGAGGGCCTTTACTATCGCGTCGAGAATGCTTTTATTTTTCTTCACATTTATCTACCGATTTGGTAGAGAAATTGTTATGCATAAAGCATTACATGTTGTAAATACTGACTAAAATGCCTGCGCGTCTTGTTTCCAAGATAGTGCGGCGCGCGCGGGAGCGTGGCATCACCGTCAAAAAATGGCTTGTTTGTGGCTATTGGTTCATATATCCGCATATATGCATGATTCATATTTATTAGAAATGAATAAAGATTAGCTCAACGGGATGGTGAAGGTGGTCTTTTTTTGTGCCAGAATCCGGGTAGACACGCGTTGACGAAAGGCTATTCCCGAATAAGCGTGCATGCGCATAGTCCAACATTGCCACGCGGAAACACACGTTTGTTCCCTGTTGGAACGTTCAAAGCGTTCCAACTTTTGAGACATTCCCTTATCATAAAGAAACAATACTTAACAATACCCATGACAAAAAGCTGCATACATCAAAAGTAGACGTGCCTCACATCTGGTTCCTGAAAACGAAATGGATGGCGTTGAGTTTTGGGTCTTTGTTTTTCAGTTTGAAAATTTCTGACAGAACCAGTGGACTATTTTTTTTTTTTTATTAATTTGCAGTTTTTGACCCCTTGTTGTTCTGCTTATATCTTACTGGGAGCAGACTTCTTTTTATTAAGCAGTTTGCTAAATTTGCCCTTGGATTTGGTCTCTTCTCCGTTCTGTTTCTTATTGTTCCCGAGTGCGGTCGTGGTTTTCCGTCTGGTTCTATTCGGTGATTTATTGACAGGATACATGGGGGGTTGCTGTAGGGAGATCTTTCGGGGTGAACTGGGAGCAACTGAAAGTGGCATAGGGCACATTGGTTCCGATGGCTCATCATCGTCTGATTCGAAGGCCATGATGGTGGTGTTATTGGGCGACACTGGAGAAGTGGGCTGAGGGTGAGTTGGAGGTAACGTCAGGTTAGCTGGTCTCCGTTGGTTGCTCTTTGTCTGCGTCTTGGTTGGTGAACCTCCGTTGGTTTCACCTGATGCTACCGTGGGAACCGAATTCTGCACTTTGTCCCCATTCTGAGACTGGCGTTTGGAAGGAGGGAAGGTGCTTCTGCCTTGGTCACTCAGAGAGTTGAGTTTGTCTGCAGGCGAGCCACCGTCAATACCTACTTCAGCGGCGCCTGGGCTAGATACCTGATGCACCTCACTCGAGGCATCATCTTTACCCTCTTCCCCTTCCTCCGTGTCTTCTTCGGGTACTGGGGAAACCCCTCCTGCTGTGTTCAGCGAGCTCTGGGATCCCCCTTGTATTGACATGCTCAGGGGCGACAGCATACGGCGGTCTTTTAGCCTAGGCGAGTTGAGAGGGCTGGAGTAGGGGGAGTTATTGTCGACTATGAGTGGGAAGGCTGTGTTCTGCATGGAGAAGACCATGGCCTCCGGGGACGTTGGAGGCTCACCAGAACCATCATCCACCTCCTTTCTATTGTGGTAGTTGAGTTCGAAGCTGCACATGTTCTCATAGAGCTCCTGTCAAGAAGGAAAACAAATATTCCAGTCACACATTTTTTGGGGGGGTAGAGTCATGCTTTCAAACTCAAAAGGTCTAATCACAATTCAACACAGGAAAAAGTAGGAATACTCAAGAGTTGTAACCAAGTCATTTTTTTCCAAGTCAAGTCAAGTCCCAAGTCAAGTTTTAGCAAGGCAAGTCAAGTCTCAAGTCAATTTTTTTCCCAAGTCAAGTCAAGTCTCGAGTCAATTTTCACAAGTCAAGTCAAGTCCCAAGTCAATTTTTTTTTCAAGTCAAGTCAAGTCCCAAGTCAATTTTTTTTTCAAGTCAAGTCAAGTCCCAAGTCAAGTTTTAGCAAGTCAAGTCAAGTCTCAAGTCAATTTTCACAAAACAAGTCAAGTCCCAAGTCAATTTTCACAAATCAAGTCAAGTCTCGAGTCAATTTTCACAAGTCAAGTCAAGTCCCAAGTCAATTTTTTTTCAAGTCAAGTCTCAAGTCTTTTTTTTTTAAATATTAGATGCACATACTACGTATGGGACCAGTTTATGTGATCGACGCCAGAGTAGAGATGGGAATGGGGTTTTTCAAAGCGTAAATCATGTAAGGAGATTTTTTTAAAATTTCATACTTTTCAAACATCCTCTCTCAAACACCTTATTCGTATCTAAAGAGTCTAAAAACGCATTTCGATATAATATTTTCAAACTTGTTCCATCATGTTGAATGTTTGAAGGACGTCTGACAAAATGTCCTTCCGAACGTTTTTGTTTAACGCATGATGTGAATTCTTTTTGCTTTGTGGCGGATTGGGGAAACAGGCGTGTGGCAGGCTCAGGATGCCCAGCTATCGCGTGCTGGTTGCTAATTCGCTATGTTTATCTGCATTCTTTTGAATGGATTATGCTAGTGCGCACGAACGCCCAGAGGTTTGTGGTTTTTTTGTAACTTTAAGAAACGTGTTAAAGGGAATATACAACATTTGCAAACATTGAAAAATAAAACTACCAAGTTTTTACGTAATACCTTACTAGGATGTTGGTAAAAGACAGTCTCAAGCATCTTGTAAAATTATGGCACCTGGTGTGAAGTCATTTTCAAGAAAATGGTATTTTTGTAAACATTTCCAACGGTGGTCGGCCGACCAGCGTTGGAAAAACCTAACTATTTTTCAACTACTGCTCCAAATTTACCATTTTTTCAGTCCAAATTTTGTTTGCTATTGGTTGTATGTTCATGAACGGGTGCAGGCCAGCTAGACTGGTTCCCTTGCCTTACAATTTTCCATCATCTATAAATTGATCCATTTTATCTTTTGTGGAGTCAGGGAACCAGACTACTTGAACGTTTTTGTTTTTTGGGGTTTTTCCAACCTTTTCGAACACAAAACTTCAAACATGTCAGTGTAACAATATTTGATCTATTATACTAACCTCTCAAATAGTTAATTTCTGAAAATTACAGCAAAAGCCAATGATGTACATTCCCTTTAATGTCAACAAGTCAAATTTATTCGAGTCGAGTCAAGTCAAGTCACAAGTCATATTTTTTCAGGTCAAGTCAAGTCGCAAGTTAAAAAAATAGCGACTCGAGTTTGAGTCAGCGACTCGAGTCAACAACACTGGGAACTCTTGAAAGCCTGTTACTGTAGCTATGTTGTCATAACTTACCCGTGCTGTTTCCATTTTATGCAACCATTCCTGGGTGTTTGCCGCAGACAGAACGCAGCCGTACACTGCACAGTTATACTCATCCACATGCACCAGGGCAAAACCACCTTGAACAAATAGAAGCAAACATTTTGATGGCAAAAAAAGAGAAAAACAATTCAGACAACTTGGAGAGCAATTGGATGTTCTTACAGATAACATTGCCCTTTAATTCTCATTACAACTCCACAAATATTTCTTAAAGACTCTTGTTTTTGAAAAGTAGAATATATCATTTGCAGCTATCCAAAAAGTGACTGACGTAATTATTGTTGAAAAGCATACTTGGTTTAAAGATAGTAATGGCACTAAACTCCCTGTGAAATTATTCTTTCTGGCAAGCTGTCATTTTGAAGAAAACAGTAAAAGAAGGTCATTTCCAAAGATGCGTCTTAAGATGCATTTTTTGAAATTTTTGTTGGTAGTTTGTTTTTAATTCGGCGTGAATGGGTGCGTGAAAGCGTCGAAAGGATGCACATGCACGCGCAGTTGCTTTAATTTGTCGGTTCAGTGCGTGACATCGCGTAGCTGCAATCGGCTGAATGAGAACGTGTCCCGGACGCTGATTTTAGGCACAGTCAAAACATGACTCCGCAACTTTTCAATTGAAATTGAGATCCTAGAATATTGTTTTATCGGAATATACAGCATTCACTGAGCTAAAACTTCATCAGGTTAGTTGTTCAACACCCTTTAGATTTTGAGCACTTTGGTTGCTTCAAATGAAACAAATGTGACACGATCAAGCTAAAATGAGTCGTTTGTCGGGAAGTTTCATTTGGAGATTCATGCCAAAATAAGGCCACTTCATCACATCTCTTGGTGTTCCGACTTCCATAATTTTTGAATTAAAGATGGTACCAGCATGCAGTTTTCACAGCAGTAATGCTGAGATTGTGTTCTTTTCAAATCTGTAAAAAATAAATTGACCAAGGTCGACAAACGACTCATTTAGCTTGATCGCATCACAAATGCACAAATGACAAATGATATACTGTACGGTTACCTATTCATTTTTTTTTTTTTAAGTCAAGTTGGTCATTGTTAGTGTTAGTGTTTGGTAAAGTGAGGTTTCAAACCAGTTCGGGTCACATGCAAATTCGGCAAATGGCATGCAAATCATGAGGTCAACAGAGGTCAAAATTAGCATATAAGAGACCGCAGCCGTTTACTCACTTCCGTCCTTGAGCTCCTGCGTTCGGATCATGTCCACGCGCATCGGCGGTTTGATGATCTTGTAATTCTCCCCCTTCTTGGGCTTGGCCAGGACAAACATGTCCGTGAAGAGAAACCCGTAGGCATCGAATCGGTTGTCGGCGTCGCGCATTTTGAAGGCCCCCTTCATGTGAAGCCAGCGGGCTTGGGCGGGCGGGGCATTTGGCATACTGCCAAGTAGGTCGAGGGTCGCATGCTCGTCTACAAGCTACGTTGCCAGGGGAAAAAAAGGGAGTGGTGTAGGTTAGTGTTACAGTAGCTTCTTGCACTACTTTCTGCATTGAGTAATGTTCACCTTGCAGTTAGATTGTTGCTGAAGGACAACAGTTTGAAGAATTGTCACCTTAGCTTCTCGACGCCGCTTTGGCACTGTGAATTGCCCAAGAACACAATCCCTCGAGTTCCTTACTTTCATCAGCTTCTCACCGCTACTATTTGCTCCGCGAAATGTTTGTATTGGAGTAAGATTCTTGCCCAAGAACACAATCCCTATAGTTCCCTACTTTCATCAGCTTCTCACAGTTACTTTCTGCACCGTGAAATGTTTGTATTGCAGTAAGATTCTTGCCCAAGAACACAATCCCTATAGTTCCTTACTTTCACCAGCTTCTCACAGTTACTTTCTGCACCGTGAAATGTTTGTATTGATGTAAGATTCTTGCCCAAGAACACAATCCCTAGAGTTCTTTACTTTCATCAGCTTCTCAAAGCTACTGTCTGCTCCACGAAATATTTGTATTGCAGTAAGATTCTTGCCCAAGAACACAATCCCTAGAGTTCCTTACTTTCACCAGCTTCTCACAGTTACTGTCTGCACCAAGAAATGTTTGTATTGCAGTAAGATTCTTGCCCAAGAACACAATCCCTATAGTTCCTTACTTTCACCAGCTTCTCACAGTTACTTTCTGCACCGTGAAATGTTTGTATTGATGTAAGATTCTTGCCCAAGAACACAATCCCTAGAGTTCTTTACTTTCATCAGCTTCTCAAAGCTACTGTCTGCTCCGCGAAATATTTGTATTGCAGTAAGATTCTTGCCCAAGAACACAATCCCTAGAGTTCCTTACTTTCACCAGCTTCTCACAGTTACTGTCTGCACCGCGAAATGTTTGTATTGGAGTAAGATTCTTGCCCAAGAACACGATCCCTATAGTTCCTTACTTTCATCAGCTTCTTACAGCTACTTTCTGCACCGCAAAATGTTTGTATTGCAGTAAGATTCTTGCTCAGGGACAGCGAGGTTCCTTACCTTTGCCAACTCCTCGCATCCACTTGGCACACTGACGGCTTCGAAGGATTCTATATGATCGATAGTGTCTTCCATCGTCTGCCTCTCCTGCTCCTGTCTTAGCTCATGGTTCACCCGCATCACAAACTCCTTCACCTCCGATATCTGCAGGGAAAAAAAATGAAATCAGCTACAGTGGAGACCTCACTTCATGAATCATATACAGGCATTGCCCTAATATTGTCAATTGTTCCTTGTCTGACATACTAGCCTTGGTCAAGGCGAATACCGGTAGTGTCCGATTATCGATGGTCGGCCGCTAACATACACATAGCCACACGCTATGCAGTCACACGTACGTACTGTATGAAGCACAAAACAGCGACCTTACACAGCTAGGCTACACTGGTGGTGCTGAGCGAATGCCTTGGAACATCCGTGAGCCTTGGCGTATGTTTTTCTTCATTTTGTCACTGGATTTCCAGTGACGACACCGTATGCGAATAAAGATGAGATTATTATTCAGTGTTTAGTCATGCAGACAAATACTTTACATGGACATAGAGCTGGATAGTGTGGCTACATTCTCCAAAAAGTTTGGAGTCCGCAGACCAGATATAACTCGATATAAATCCAGCGACAAAATAACCAAAATTGCCTGAAAAAGACAGGCAATCGATATGGTTGTTCCAAGGCATTCAGTTAGCCCCACCTGATTTGCATTGTGTAGCCTAGACACGCGAGGTCGCTGTTCACGCTCACGGTACGTGTGACATGGGCGCATTGTTCGCAGCCAAACATCAATCATCGAACTCCGTCATCGAATGCCGTGACCAAGGCTACTGACATGCAAGCCAATACAAATAGTTTGACCCTGTATTAAATATCCGGAGGACAATCAAGCACCGGTCTCCGACCTGCCAGACTATAAAAAATACTGCAAGTAAAACTTGCGCGATCCCCCCTGGTATCCTGGCAGTTTGTATACATGTACAGGCAGTTAGTAAGGGCGATTTTCAGTGACGGCCTTGATTGTCCACCCGGCAGGTACCACTTCTCAGTTGAATGGGGAGTTTAGGTTGAATGGAGAGTTTGGGTGAGATACCGGACTAACATATGTTAGAGTCATTAGTATCTCTCCAGAGACCTCGTAAATATCCATATTGGAAAGGATTTTTTTTGCCATCAGCCTTCTCTCCCCTGACCACCTTTTAAGTTTGGTTGAGATTGATGACTGAACTTTACAGTGAAATGGAACACACACCCTAGCACGTTTGTTTATGGTGTAAATCGAGGATTTTCTTTTGTTTGTACTTAAACCTTTTTCGCAACGGCTCTCATTGGTTTTGTTCACGTTTTCCAACCAAGGAGCCCTCGATTCGGTTTCTGTCCTCGATTCATCGATGATGCTGCACGTGTGTGTCCTCGATTTACACCATAAACAAACGCACACAAGTGTGTATGTGCCTGCAATCGGAGACCCCCTATTGTCCCCCTTTTGTTTGTACTTTAACTTTTTAGGAAGACCTCTTGATGTTTTGTACACGATTCTAAATTGGGGACATTCGGGAATTGGGGACCCTATTGTCCTCTATTGCTCAACGTCCCCTATTGAATGCAGAAACAAACTCACACTGACACACAGAAGGAATACGCGATCGCAATATCCCCCTGTCTGGCTTGAAAGCCAGGGGGATAAAAAGCAGAGCTAAAAGCTGTCAGGCTGCATTCATTATTGACTTTTCCAAGCCACAAGTGGATTGGCATTCATGAAGACTGTTCCAGGACGTACGTAGACAGACTCTCTATGCGACTTACCCTAGTGGAGACCACTGCATTTTCACCTTCTTCGAGGGTCTTCTTCTCAACAGCTATCAGGAGGAGAGGGTACTTGGTGATGCGCTGCATTGGGTAGACCAGGAGATCTTGCAGCTTGCGTCGTTGACTGTTCGGGTGTCTCTCGGCCCACTGTGAGGATCAACAAAAAAGGATGGTTCAAGAAACAAAGAAATTGACTGGAGCGGGGTTTGAACCTGTAACCTCCGGATTGCTGTTCTGATGCTCTACCAACTGAGCTGGATAGATCCAGCCCTATGTTGGCAGCTCCCCAATTTGTTAATGTATTTGTTGAAGGGGTGCTAGTCAGAAGCCATAAACCAATATATACCATGTAGCCAGGGATCTTGCCTCCTGTTAATCTTTTTAATCTAATTATCTGTTTAAAGTTTTATTTTAATGCGGTCTTATTTTTCATTCAACTTTGTATCTATGTTTTAATGTATTCTTGTTACCATTCAATTTAGGATTGACAGGCTTTCGAGTTACCGTGTTTTATTATACTTTTGTCAATCCTGGCCAGCTTGGATTGGTTGTTTTTGTTTAGTTTTGTTTAGTTTTGTGGATTGCTTGTTGTGTTTTGTAATTTGGTCAAATAAATAATAATAATAATTTTAAAGTCATGATGCTAGCAACATTAGCAATGCTGAAAACCTGGAAAATAGAACATGGGGATCACTCAAAGGATATAGCTTTCTACTTTAACAAGACTGATACTGAGAGCTGCAGTCTTGCAAATCATCCTGAAGGAAGTTGTAAACAGTGCTGATAACTTCATTGCGGGAACATTCTGGAAAACTTCAGAACCCTGAAACTAAATACCCTACAATCAGCCTCTTGCGGATAAACTTGTCCACAACTTGTCAGGAATACTTTTTGAGATGAGGCCCTAATAGTATCACACCAACCTGCCTAACTACCTTACCTCAATGAAGAACCGGAGCATCTCGTTGTCTTTGGTCCGTTCCCTCAGATACTTCATGCACTCGTGCTCGTCAGTGCAGAACTTGATGTACGGCGCAAAGAGATCTGCAAACTGGATAAAATTGATCCGTACCAGGATTTACATCAAAGATCAACTGAAAATGCTTTCTATCCAAGTGGGAAGCACTTGCTTTAACATTTCATGGTGAAAGAGGAAGGGAAAGAGAGAGGGACGGGAGTGGCTTGGTCTTTGAGAAGTCCAGCCAAACTTGGGAGAAGCCCAGACCTTCAGGCTTCAATAATCCCTGACTGATTGGGAGCAGTCTGACTGAATAGATTTTGGATTTGACTCTAATTGTTAATGTCCTAAAAAGAATCGGAGCAGTAGCCACAGCTACAGGTTGAACTGGGTATGGCTACCTGCCGTCTTTGCTGTCTGGAAAATAGGTTTCGTTAATTGGTAGCAGCTCTGTTGAGAGGTAGTTTGGAGCTGAAAATGGTGCATGGAGCTGAAAATCTCAGGCTCAGAGGTCCTGACCGGATTTTCAGAGACAAAGCTGTACCGCCCTTTTTCCCTCCTTGTTTTGAGAAAATTCCATGCCTACCCCTTCGAAGGCCTCTGCCAAGTCAGTGGCAGATGGTATCCTCTTCTCCGCCCGTGCCTTCGTGACGACATTGGACAGCTTCTCCTTCCAGAATCTGGTGTGGAGCTTCTCGATGGCAGAGATGTTGCTGAAGATCTTCTCAGTCTCGATCTGATCACATCAAGGTCAAAGGGAAAATCGGTAATTTGCGCAATTTCAGATGTCTCCTTGAGAAGGCTGATAGCTAGGGATCACATTGGGATTACCTTGATCCGGCATTATCTGAGGATTAATTCACACTCTCTATGCGGTAGGAACCTCCCTGGATCCTCAAAACTTCTCTACTCTGCTTCATACTTTGATTTTTTGTTAATTCTCATATCTAGTCTTTTCTTGTTTTTTAACTGAACAAAGAGTTAAAAAATAAGCATAGAGTAGACTTACCTGATTCAGCATGGCAGACGCTTGGAGGTTAATCAGAGTGCACAGATAAAACTGCAACAAGACAAAGCATTAATCTGTCAGTTCTTAGACAATGGAATAAAACCAGCAGCATTAAACCAGCAGCATAACAGTGTTACACTCTATCATATGTAAATAATAATAATAATAATAATAAAAATAATAATATCGGAGTCTTATATAGCGCACGTATCTACCAACTATTAGGTACTCAAGGCGCTGGAGATATGTCTATTATTAAAGAAAGGTAAATAAAGTTTATGAGAAATATGAGACCCATTATGTAGCACCTTATAAGGGTTTACAAGGTGCTGCGGCGCATATTGCAGCCACTGCCAGAAACACCGGGGCAAACCCCTTCTCTTAAAGATAAGTGTTACTGGGTTCTTTAACGTGCATATTACACAACACACGGGACCTACGGCTTTACGTCCCATCCGAAGGACGAAGCAATAATGGTAAAGTGCCTTGCTCAAGAGCACAAGCACCATGTTCCCACGGTCAGGACTCGAACCCATGTACCACGGCACACGAGTCAAACACCGTAACCATTGGACCACAGCACCCCACAATGAAGGGCTTGGGCGCAGGAGTACTGCAACTGTACTTCCAAGAGCTTAGTTGAGGATGAAGCACAAGTGTTGTGAGTACAGAACATGCCAAATGAGGCTTATGATGCTCTGGACATGGGTGGGTATCAACAAAAACTACTCCTGAAAGCCCGCAAAAGTCCGACTTTTGTCCTGATTTTGTCCTCCAAAGCCCAACCTTTGTCCTGTTTTTTGTTGTTGAAACTTTTGATCCTACTGTGCTCCTACTTTTTCACCTGGGTCTGCTTGAAAGCCTGGGAACATGTAGGGTTAACGAGACAAGCATGAAACAAGTGCGACCCCTCATAACAAAAAGCTAAACCTAAGAGAAACAATCTGGGTTTTTCCTGGCAGAAGCTCAGTGTAGGAGGGGCTCCAGGCATTGTTCAAGAGGTGGGCTTAGCCGTCATGAGGTGGGTTTAACAGGCGTCAGGTGCATAACCAGGGTTTTGTTTGCCCATTGCAGTGGCGAGGCAAGGGCACTCGGCATCTGTGCTGAAAGGTAGACAGGTGTTTTTTCACCGGACATCCAGCCTCCGTAAAATCAAAAGGTCGGGGGAGGGGTGCCAAGGGCTGAACACCTTCCTCCCATGGGGGCGCTGAAACTTTCAGACAATAGGTGGCACACCGAACGCGGCACAACATATTCGCGGGACATAAACAAAGTTACTTGTCAATAAAGGGCGCTTGTGAAAAATGGCCCTCGTGAAAAAAGGGCAATCACTAGATAATATTGAGTTGCACAACTGAATATTCGTCCCGTTACCCATTTTTACCATCCTGATTTGCTTCTATCAGCGTCCCGATTTTGTTTTTTAAAATCTCAATCCTACCTGCCACTCTGCATCTCGCCCCCTGGTTAAGCTACTGACAGGCACCGGGTATTGTTTTCCCTCTTATTTTCCTTTATTTCGCAGCCCTAGATGGGGAGTTTAACCCCCCCCCCCCCAACCCTCTCCTGTTGGTCTACCATCGCCATGTACTTACATCCACCATGATGCGGATGTTTTTGATGTAGCCCACTTCGGTTTTAATGATTTCCCAGATGGCTTCTTGTTGGTCCGTCTGCTTCTTGGTCAACTGGCTGACCGTCTCTTCGTCTCCCATCGCCCTCCAAGATTCCTCCTAAAACAAAGGTCAACATTGCATTATCCACACTCACTCTTGTTTCCTTTCTCAAGGGAAGCCATGTGCGCTTTCTTAAGATTGTGCAAATTAAACACAAAGAGATCATCTGTTACGGCCAGGGGCAACATTTTGGTGGGAGGCCAGGGGTACTGATGTTATCGTTGCCTAGCCCCCAAATGTCAACCCAAGGGGGGGCCCCTCCAAGAGGTTGTCAATTTATTTTATTTGGGGGGGGGGATTTTTTTTTGGTCCCACGATTTGACTGACCGTGGTGAAATGCATGTGGCCTATTTTCGAGTAGTATAATAGTGCTGTAAATGGTGCTACCAACGTCAAAATAGTCGGTTCCCCTCCCCCCAAAAAAACATTTAAAACAAATAAAAAAACATAACGGTTTATATATTTTTCTGAGGCCAAACATTTTGGGGAAATATTTTTTGAAAAAATTCAAACTTCTAAAAAAAATTGAAACAAAAAATTGTTAGCCCTCCCCCCAAGCCAACCCCACTGTTCATGTACAGTGGATCACATGTGCACAAAACACCGTAGACCCCAGGTGTACAAAACACCATAGACCACATGTATACTTTGTAGGCACAAAAATGTGTGCTTGTCAGAATTACTGGAACTGACGGAATCAATTTGCGACTCACAAATTGGAAACATTCTTCATCGTCTTCTCTCTTTGTAGTAAAGGTCAGGAGTGCTGGGAAGTCGGGCAGACCGTTGATCATAAAGTCATCCAGAGTCTGCTTCAACTTGAGGAACTTAGGGTCCACCTTCTCCTGAACAGGAAAGAAAGAGGTAGCAAAGGATGTGAAAAGGCAAGAAACAGTACAAAGATGGGTATGTGATAGTCTTACAGGCCAGTCCTTTTATTTCCGTGTCAATTTTGTGAACAACATTAACCATCGCAAGACCTTTGTATGCATGGTTGCAAGTGAACTATTACCCATAGAGCTATTACATCTAGAACTAGTACCCCTTGAACTATTACCCCTTGAACTATAACCCCTAGAATGATATCCTCTAGAACTATTGCCCCTCAACTTATTACCCCTTGAGCTATTACCCCAAGAACTCTATACCCCTAGAATTATTACCCCTTGAAAATACTAACCCTAGAACTATTACCCTTTGATATATTACCCCTTAAACTATTACCATTGAACTATTACCCTTACAATATTACCACTATAACTATTAAACCTAGAACTACATTGTGTTACCCCTTGATCCATTACCCCTTGAAATATTACCCCATGATCTATTACCCCTTAAAATATTATACCTAGAACTATTACCCATTGATCTTATTACCCCTTGAACTATAATCCTTGAACTATAACCCCTAGAACTATTACCCCTTGAATTATAACCTCTTGAACTATAACCCTTGAACTATAACACCTTGAGCAATTACCCCTAGAACTATTACCCCTTGAACTATAACCCCTTGCACTATAACCTCTGGAACTATTACCCCCGAGGCAGGGCAGGAGGCATATGGGTGCAGACCAGTAAATCGGTCCGAAATTGCCTACGCCGGCCAAATCACGATTTGCATGCCCTCAAAATCTTCAGTATTTGAGCATGCTGTGGGCCATGAACTTGAGGGTTTGTAAAAAATATGGGTGGAAGCCGTGCACGGGACTGGGAGCTTGCAGTTCTGTGTAATTTGGATGTAATTTCGACCCTAAAAGCGCTCTATTTTGCAATGGAGTGTAGGCATCGTTTTTCAAAATGGCGATGGGCTTCAGGACTATTTTCAGGGGTGATCATTTTCAGATGGAAATTTCTCCTAAAAGTCATCAGTTGACCCCCCCGAAAATTGAAAAGAAAATGAAAGATGATGAAATAAGCTTTAATTTGATGTGTGTCTCGAACACCTTGGAGAGTTGTGAGTATTTTTCCCGAATTTCTGAAGTGGGAGCATTTACCATTGGGGTCTATAGAAGTTTATTTACTGGTCTGCTACCATATACCTTGGCTGGGTCTTTGATGGTGACGGGCTGACCAGTTGCGACGGACGTCCGACGGTTTCCCTTAGAGTTTGGAATAGGATCGGGTTGATTAATTCCCAGGAGTTTAGTAAGATCCTTCTTTCTCTCAAGAGTCTGTGTGGATTGCTACAGGCATAAACACAACAAACAAAGAAGCAAATGAATAGCTGCCAACGACCAAAACAGGTGGTCATTCATGCAGCGTTGCTATTTGTTATTACGGAATTAATGCAGTCGGGATGCACTTGCCAAAAGAAAAATTCCATTGTATTCTGTGGGTTTAATACTGAGCTATCATGCAAGAACTCAAATACGTGGAGGAAGTTTAATTGCCAGCGCAGTCTGTCTTTCTAGCTAAACATGCTGAGGGCTTGCTGCTTTCCAAATTAGCTCAAACCACAAATACTGTTTCCCACCCCCCTAAAAATATGGGGACCGTGAGCAATCCTGGCCAAATCTCGCTGGGCCCCCAACCCCCCAGCCCCCACTCAATGTTGTCTCTCATTGCGTGGTGTGTGCTCCATCCCCTGAAGAGAACAACATTGACCGGGGGAACGGGGGAGTTGGTGACCGTTGGAGGCTAAGGTTATTTCCAAGTGTCCCAACCATTTTGGCTGGGATTGTAGCTCCCATTTTAAAGCCAGTGATTAGATCGCCTCTGCGCACACGCAGTAGGGATTGTTTATTTTTGAATCACTATTCAGCTTTGTGCATGGACGATACTTGGAAGTACGGAAAATCGCCAGTGTCTCCATGAAGGCAACTTTCAAGCATTTCAACTGTATAGGTTTTAAATACTGAACTTTGTAAGCCCCTCTCTTTATTCATATTTGCCAGAGACACTTTCAGCGCTCATCACCTCCGAAACTGCACATTTGTGGCCTGTTGCCATTTTACAATAGGCTGGTTGCAAAACGCGCAAACATTTAATACCGATGTGATTTTAAATTCAGGAGGCGAGAGTCTGACCTAATGCATGTCCTGCATATAATTTGCATACATTAGGAGGAAAGCCTCCTAATGTATTCAGGATTTGCTGCTAGCTACCTGTCCCCATATTTGAAGTCCGAAGGACAATGCAGAGACAGGGGACCAGACTAAAGTCACAAGTGATGTACACTAAATGTAGGTCCTCGGCTTCATTTCATGGCACTGCTTTCCAGGGAATTCTGTGCTCATGCTCTTACAGAGCCAGTACAGTAATAGACTGATGCACACTCAGGTTGCAGACCAGTAAATCGGCCCGAAATTTTTTACGTCGGCCAAATCACGATTTGCATGCCCTCAAAATCTTCAGTATTTGAGCATACTGTGGGCCATGAACTGGAGGGTTTGTAAAAAATATGGGTGGAAGCCGTGCACAGGACTGTGAGCTTGTAGTTCCGTTCAATTTGGATGAAATTGGGGCCCTAAAAGCGCTCTATTTTGCAATGGAGTGTAGGCATCGTTTTTCAAAATGGCGATGGGCTTCAGGACTATTTTAAGGGGTGATCATCTTCAGATGGAAATTTCTCCTAAAAGTCATCAGTTGACCCCCCGTAAATTGAAAAGAAAATGAAAGATGATGAAATAAGCTTTAATTTGATGTGTGTCTCGAACACCTTGGAGAGTTGTGAGTATTTTTCCCGAATTTCTGAAGTGGGAGCATTTATCATTGAGGTCAATGGAAGTTTATTTACTGGTCTGGAACCCTCACTGCCCACTACGCACGCTGAGAAACAACAAGTGCACATCTTAATGCATAAAGCACATTTCAACCGCGCACATCATATGCGCATCCACCAAATGTCAGGCTTTTGTGCAAAAGTCTACCAAAGTCACGCAAAACAGTCTACCAAGCTTCTTTGTGATTTTCTTTTTTCTCAAAATTAAACTTTCATAATCTCCTCTCCCAAAATATTTATGAGAAACCTTTTTTTAACAGAATTTATTTATTGAAAAAAAATCCAGCTGCTAACTAACTACAGGAAACTTAAATTGCATGCATAATGCAATTCTTTTGCAACTTTGGCATGGGCAATGCCCCCCCCCCAAAAAAAAAACAATCCAACCAAAATTTTATAAAAATCACCCACTATATTTGCTTGCTTTCTACATCAGCATCTGCTTCACATGTAATTAACAAATTCATGAGTTTTAAATTTTTATCATGCTTGTTTCCTTTTTTACAATTTGAAACTGCGATTTCAGTACAAGTGCAGCAATTAAGTAACGCATAGCCAATGGTCCAAAGATTAATTTCATCTGTCCAAACTGAAAGTTGAGGGGAAAAAAACACAATCAAATATTTGGACAAGGCCGAGTAAAAAAATAAAGAAGTTCCTTGTCTGGCCTTTTTAATAAATGAAGAAGGCAGGCGTTTTTAAAAGTATTTTTGCTTTTTTTTCCAAGATGGCAGATTTTCCAAGATGGCGAATGGATTCTTCAATTTTCTGGACTCTTTTGCTGATACAAAATTGTGTCCAAAGAAACCATAACCCTTTCTACATAGCTGCATAGGAGACATTTAACAATTGTTGACTGCTGTGATGTGGGATATGACGTTTAGAGCACACGAGGGGCCGAGGGTGCTATGGGCCCCGAGGGTGTTCAAAACGTCATATCCCACATCACAGCAGTCAACAATTGTTTTGTTATACCTCTGTCTTGGATTGTTTGGATTTTGATGTAAAAATCACGAAAACAAACAGCACGAAAACAAACCGCAGTAAACACAACAATCATGACAATCTAACGGCAACTGACATGCATGTCGCATGCTCGAAACAGCTGATCGTCTGCTAGTTCGCTGCTCCCACTCATGTGTGAAAACATGGTGAAAATTGCGTGGATACCAACGATACAAGCGTTTCACACCGTACGTACTGTACGTACCGTATGTACATGATATCCCACAGGGAGTGTGCCATGACTTTTTATAAACTTAACACGTGATCGTTCTAGGCCAATGAAAATACAGTATTTAAGACAGAGGTATAAAAATCACTTTTTCTACTGTAGCTACAATTTTGTTGGAAACAAATATAAACGCACAGGAGTAAAATATATTGGAGTAAATTATATTGCAAATGTATGAATTAAAAAAAAAAAGGAGGCAGCTGGGAAAATGAAGAAGCAGGAGGGACGAGAAACTGTTTTTTTGTTTACTTGGCCTAAGGTTAGATTGTTAAAGTCTTGTAAACTTTTTTATCTCTAGCAAACTAGAACTGAAACTGAAATGAAAACAAAATGTAGTCAGTATAAGAACACATGCATCATTACAACAAATAAATTCTAAAACTTGCACAATTGTTAACATTTTCATGAACAATGTTCATATGTATGACATCATGCAGTGTGGCGAAGCAAAATGTGTGTTAAAAGTTCATACATTTTTTATTTGCTTTAGTTTGAGATTTTCTTGGAAAATGTACAAGTTTCAAAAAATCAGGGCTGAAAAAAAAAGAGCTGTTCTTAAAATTTACCCCCGGTACGTCACAAGTTGAGGAGCCTAAGCTTATCATTTCTTGCGTCAGGGTGATGTACATGTCAATTCAATATTTGGTTTTGCACTTCACTGTTTGTTGTCCCAAGTAATCATGTGAAAAAAAAATACTCGGGTTTGACTCGAACCCACGACCTCCTTACTACCGGTAGTGCAGACGTCTTACCACTCGACCACCAAGCTTGTCGGGTTCGGCTAGCTAGTTCAATTCTGATAAGCAGGAGGTTGTGGGTTCGAGTCCCACGCGAGTAGTTTTTTTCCTTTACTTGGGACAACACTGTCATTGAGTAAACAGTGTCGGTGAAGGGCCATCCAAATTTTGAACTTTTTGTTTTTTAGTGTTGATGACATCTGACACATTATCATGCATGAATACATGTAGGTAAATGTTTTTGCACAAAAGTTATCTCACAAAGTTTTTTAAAAAAAACACAATTCCATACGCTCCCTGTATGTACGGTACATTAACATGTAAAAACAAATCTTTGACAGACACAGAGGAAATTGCGCTTCCCACACTTTTCGTTCGACCTTGTTGGAAAGGCTAAACATCTGTCCCTGAAATACATACATTCGTACTAATGGCCAATAAAGTAAAGTTAGCACAAACAAACATGTAAAACAAAGTATAAAACAAAAACAAACAAAATTTGCTGATGAGTCTGCTACCTAGACCATTTCATGCAAACTGATTGGTTTGAGGCACATATCAGAACCATGTACAATACAGGGTGTCCTGAAAATAATGGTGCATGTAAACCCTGCCATTTTCGCCAATTTACAACCAGAATTTACTGCAAATGTTTACACGATCTTCAAGGTTACAGAGTTAGCTTGATAATACCATTTGTTTAATTAAGATTGCTTTTGTAAATCCAGAGATATGTTTAAATAACCGCAAAGCCAAAAAAAAACCCTTCTGTGCCACTTTTAGGAAGCGAGTGATTCAAAGATACAATGCCAGTATGGCTCTTTTGATAAGATTATCCCTGTGGGTGTAAGACAAACATTCCATTCACAAGACAATATAGGGTTTTGTTATGTTGAAACATTTTAATAGTACAGACAGGTTCACTTCTTTAAAACTTCAATGAAAGAGTTCAATTAAATATAAATAAATATTGCACACTCTGCTTAAAAATGTTAAAATCACTAACAGTAACAGTAAAGTCATTTGGTTTTAGACTAGGACTATATTGATTTTAACTGCTTCACAGAAAGTGGCACAAAATGGGTTTCTTGGCTTTGCCGTTATTCAAACATATCTTTGGATTTACAAAAGCAATCTCAATGAAACAAACGGTATCTTCAAGCTAAATCTATTACCTTAAAGATGGTGTAAACATCCGCAGAAAATTTTGGTTGCAAATTAGCAAAAATGGAGGGGTTTACATGCACCATTTTTTTTCAGGATGCCCTGTACAACTTTGTGACAGTTACATGTAGTTCAAGTCAACAGCAATGGCAAACTGGCATGCATGCACTGGCATTATCATGAACTACGCTAAAAAACAAAAATGTGGGCATGTGGACTTCATACGGGAATGCAGTGTAATGGTCTGTTGATGGCCATGCAAAAGCAGAAAACAGAAAAGACAGACGAAAAGAAGGAAAAGGGTGCGTACTCTTGGTGTCGGCTGGATCTCCTTCTGTTCCACGCCCAGGAATTTAGACATATCCTTCCGCATCGGGATTGTCTGAATGACCCAAAACGAAAACAAGTATTGCAAAAAAAACAGTGCAACTGGGAGTTCTTTAACAGGTACATGTAAGAACAACAATTCAACAAAAAGAAAAGGACGTCAACAATAAGACTTACTGTAGAATTGAGATTGTGACATGGACAATTGTAATATTGAGTACTGTACAGGGTGAGTGAAAAAAAAAAGGAAACCCAAATGCCAGGACCGTTTTTTGAATAAGTTTTGCATGTAGCACTTTCAAAATCTAGGATATGAATGCCCAATCAATGAGCTTTCTTTTAGTACAAGAATCATTCAAATCACTCATGTACTTTTCAGGTTACAGAATTTTGAACACAAACACCATTTTAAAGTTCTGTCCACGGATCACGAAAGAAAGGTGAGTGTTCTTTCAGCAAACGAAGCAAAAATGATGCATCCCTATGAGAATTGTTTTCATATTGCTGAAAGAACACTTACTTTTTTGGTGATCCTTGGACAGAACTTTAAAACGGTGTTTGTGTTCAAAATTCTGTAACTTGAAAAGTACATGAGTGATTTAAATGATTCTTGTACTAAAAGAAAGCTTGATATGTGGGCTTTCATGTCCTAGATTTTGAAAGTGCCACAGGAAAAACTTCATTCAAAAATTGGTCCTGCCATTTGGGTTTCGTTTTTTTTTTACTCGCCCTGTAGAATTGAGATTATGACATGGACAATTGTAATGAGTACTGTACAGTGACAATGACAAATGGCCACAATGACAGGCTCATAGTGGACACAATGACATAAATAAGGACGACAAGGAAACTTGGTGACACTGTTGAGGTCACGCTGGTGTGGTGGGGATCGTGGTTATAATGGTCACTGTGGTGACAATTGTCACTGTGGTGACGATAATGGTGGTGTCTGGTGATGATTGTGACAGCTACATGTAGGGGTGACAATGGTGATGATCGATGGGGATGGATTTGAATCAGACAAATACTGGTGGTGCTGCTACCGTAGCATAACAGATTGGGATGGGGTGAGAATGGTGATAAGGTCATGGTGGTGAGGGTCATGACACGTACACATACATGTATGTTGTGTGGTGAATCAATAACAAAGATGCTATGCACAATGAAAACATCAAAAATTCATATCAAGAAATAAAAAACTACAACCACAAACAGCCATCACAAACTAGACCCTTCATAAAAGATCATCTTATCAAATACACTCAACTACATGCCAACGTGTAGTCACATTCTACATGTACGTGTATCTATCCCTTCACTTGTGAGTGTTATCTTCACAGCGACTGATGACCTAACGCTACCAGGATCTGACACAAGTTGGCAAGAAAATGCAACCAAGACTTTGATATTCTACAGGGTGAGTAAAATAAAACGAAACCCAAATGTCGGGACCACAGTTTTAGTGAAGTTCTGCATGTAGCACTTTCAAAATCTAGGATATGAAAGCCGAATTTATAAGCTTTCTTTTAGTGCAAGAATCAATCAAATCATTCACGTATTTTTTAAGTTACGGAGTTTTAAACACAACCACCGTTTTAAAGTTCTGTCCTCAGATCACAAAAAAAGGTGTGTGTTCTTTCAGCAAAACGAAAACAATTCACACACATCCCTACATGTATGTGATTTGTTTTCGTTTTACTGAAAGAACACTGAACTTTATTGTGATCCGTGAACAGAACCTTAAAACGGCGGCTGTGTTTAAAACCCCTTAACTTGAAAGGTACATAAGTGATTTGAATAATTCTTGTACTAAAAGAAAGCTTATGAATTCGGCTTTCATATCCTGGATTTTGAAAGTGCTACATGCAGAACTTCACGAAAACAATGGGCCAGAGATTTGGGTTCCATTTTATTTTACTCACCCTGTATTTCTCTTCTCTTTTACTAGAGGTAAAACAAAAACTACTGTACATACATGTACAATCACTAATGCAAAGTAAACTAGGATAAGTTATCCCACAAATGCAAGTGGAACGCGGAACATGCATAGGTAGTGCGCATCTGTGTCCCATATGCTACAGGGCCGATCAAACCAAAGATTCTTCGGATGACGTGTATGGGAATTTGGGCTCGGGCAACTATCCGCATCCAGCCTGAGGCCCATAGCCGGTTTTAAATGTACTTGTTTAAAACTGGCCAAGCACATATTTATTCCCATTCATAAATACCTTTTGATCGAAAAGTCAAAATTAAGTCAAAAATTCACTAACTTCCAATGATTGTGTTCAGCAATTTACTTCACGTTTTGTGAAACACCTCTCTGGCCATGTCTACGGCATGTGCCTCGTGTGTGTAATACCAATAATCTCCTTATATGGAAATTGGCATGCGTGGCAAGTACCAGTACTGCGCGATGTGGCGCAGAACGCAGGATTTGTGTTTAAAACCACCCACGTGACGGGCTCTCAACCAGGTATTTATGAATGAATAATAAATAGAAAACGTGCTGCAATACTTGATTCAGATCACTTCAACAGGAAACACTGTAAACATGTTTACGTAAAGGGAAATACAAAATTCCAAGGGCACTAGTTTTGGCATGCAACAATGCCAAGCATGTTCAGTGGTGTACCGGTACCAACCTGGCATTAAGCGTGTATTCCCCTGAAAAGAAATGCTATGCGTAAGAGAGAAATACATTGTGTGAATATCATTTAGCTTTGGTGACAACCATGACCATCTTGGCTTTTATTGATTTACTACATTGTCTGTTGTCCGCTTTGATGTAGATGTTGTTGGGCATATATTTGGCTTACCATTTTTAACCGTATTGTATGCAGGTCTTGAGTGACTGATTATTGTTGCAAAAAAAGTATTGCGGCAGAAAACATGCTACAAAATCGTAATCATTGCAACTGTTCGAGAGAAACAAATCCTCAACAAGGCAAAATTGTATAATTCTCGTTGGCATGTATGTGTGCTGAAGCCTGCTAAATCGTTGCTAGTGCCAGTCATAAAAGTGAGAAGCTATTGTAGTGATTATAATGTCCAATTGTGTGAGTAAATGGAACTATCTTTGTACATGCTTTGTTCATCAACAAGTTGGCATCCGGTACGACCCAATATTCAAATATTCGATCGAGTTGAAGGTCGAATATTCGAATATTCAATTATTCGAATTGACTCAGCCCTACTTGGCTCCAGGTCTAGCATCATAGAAACTGCAAGCTAAACATGTCAAGTTCACTAAACATGTACATGTCAAGTTCACTAAACATGTCAAGTTCACTATACATGTACATGTCAAGTTCACTAAATATGTCAAGTTCACTAAACATGTCAAGTTCACTAAACATGTCAAGTTCACTAAACATATCAAGTTCACTAAGCATGTCAAGTTCACTAAGCATGTCAAGTTCACTTCAACTGACCTGTCCTACATGTACATGTACACGGTTATAATTATGCACGACCAAGAAAACGGTAATCCCAGGTTCACACATTCCTGATTTTTAAGCCGAATCGCCACGAATAGCAATTCCGGAGTAAATCGGGAAATGGTTCTTGGCTGCCTTGGGATGATTCTGTTAGTTCGGTGAAAGACCGTTAAAGGTTAAGCGCTCCGACAATTTTTGACATTGTCAGGGTGATTCGTGAACCAATTTCAATTCTTGGTTTATTCTTGTTGTATTCGTAACTAATTCTGGATATTCTTACAGCATTCTTACAAGTTTCGTAGAGTTATTCTTGGTGGTAACAGTCCAGAATCATGCCGAATCATTAGGAATGTATCCAAAAAATGTACAAATATTATTCAGAATAACTTACAAATACACTAAGATTTTGTTAAGAATAAATCAGATTTATCCGAGAACTTAGCAAGATTGAATCACAAAGAGTGCTGAGAATTTATTAAGAATAACCAAGAATCAAGCATAGTACGAATTGATCCAGAATAGTCCCGAATAATGTGGAGATCTACGGTACGCTGCTTGGCAAGCTGGAATTGACTAACAACGAGCGCTTTGGTTCTTGGTTCTTGGTTGTTCTTCTCCTAAATACTCCACGTGGGTGTTTATACAGGAGGCCAGAAACACCGGGGCAAACCCCTTCTCTTAGCGATAAGTGTTTACGTGTATTTATACAACACACGGGACCTACGGCTTAACGTCCCATCCGAAGGACGAAGCAATAATGGTTAAGTGCCTTGCTTAAGAGCACAAGTGTCCGCCGGCGGGCTCGAACCCACGTCACTGTTGCCTCTGAAACACCAGAACGTGAGTCCGGTGTTCTTAACCGCTAGGCCATCACACGCTTTTTTGGGATTACTTTTGAGTTGACTGCTGAGAAGGGTCTAAGTCAGTTAAGGTTGTCCTGAATATTAGAATATTCGATCATCAACTATGCGCATACACGACTGTGATGTTACTTTATCATAAAGTTGCGGTGTTTTATTGTCAGGTGCCACTATTATTTTTGACAGTAATTTTGTTGTCGACGGCTGTTCTTTGTTAAAGCTATAGTCCATCATTTGTAATTAGTGCATTTTGTTCGTTTGAAGCAACAAAAGTGTTCAAAATCTAATGACGGATACTGAACAACTTACTTGATGAAGTTTCAGCTCAGCTTCAGCTTCATATTCCGAGAAAAACACCATTCTAGGATCTCAATTTAAAATCAAAAGTTGCTAAATCATGTTTCGAATTGTTTTGAATTGCAGCTTTACGCGATGTCGCGCACTGATCCGACAAATTATAGCAACCGCGCGCACCTGTGCGTCGTTCCAATGCTTGTGCGCGCTGCGCCGAATAACAAAACGAACAACTAATTTAAATTTTCCTACGGTGCTTCTTAAGAAGCACCGTTGGAAATGCCTTCTTTCGTTGATTTCTTCAAAATGATAGCTTGCCAGAAAGGATAATTTCACAGGGAGTTTAGTCCCCTTACTATCTTTCAACCAGTATGTTTTTCAACAATAATTACGCCAGTTACTTTTTTGGATAGCTGCAAATGATGGACTCGGGCTTTAACTATCCTTTTAGCAGGAATAAAGCCCTTGACACTTATAAAATACTTACTGCATAACATTCCACACCGATCGCCGCATGCAAATTATAATGTGTGCGCTCTGCATGCAACTTTTGACTGGTGCGGCACGCAGCTGCAGCTGGTACATGTAGTTTCGAATATCCGAATATTCAGTCCAACAGAGTTTCGAGTAATCGAATACTAAATTATTTCAAAAACGACAGCCCTAAAGTCAGTTACAAGGTGGCAAGAACCTCAATCAGTTGGGTACCTGAAACCTAAAAAAAAAAAAAGAAGGAAAACCTAAGAAGCAAACGCTGATGAGTTCACTTACCGCAATAAAGGGTTCCCCCGAATCTTCCTTCTCCTCTCCATCTTCCATGGTCTTCTGGGCAAAACTTGGGCTGATCACAGCTTTGGAGTTCTTGCCTGCTTTAGCTAAGAATAGGAACAGGAAACAAACATACAATTAGGTTACGAAAATGAACCATGGAAAATATTTACATATGAGCCATCCAAGCATTAGGGGTGTGCATTTACGGTTAGTACGGGAACCGGATACCCGACTGGAAAAAAAAAAAGAACACGGGTACCCGGGTACCCATTTCAGCAACCCAGCCCCAAAATTCAAATCACGGAAGTTGCTGTTGAGATTGTTCATAAAGGGGCACATGATAATACTAGACTTTCCTATTGGTCCATAGCCCGTCACGTGGCCGGTATTAAATGGATGATAAAGACCGGCTGGCTGGTCTTAAACACTTTTCCAGTGTCACATGAAATTTGGACTCCTATGAAATCCAGTGCCTTTTACCGTTGTTTACGACTTACTCGCGAGCTAGCTACTCCATTATAAAGCTAGAGGGGTGTTTCAAAAAACATAAAGCGAAATTATTGAACAATGGTTGGAGTCTGGATGCTGATAATTACTTCGGCTCCGGTAATTATCAGCATCTAGACTCCAACCAGTCTTAAACAGAGTGTTTAAAACCTCCCAAGCACACATTTATTCCCTTAATCTAAATTAACAAGCAAAAAATGAAATACAAAACAAAAAAGAAAAACAAACAAAAATCGCAAAAACAAAAAGACAAAATCCAAAAAAAATTATGATCTAAGGTCAAAGGTCAAGGGTGAAATATGATTTCTAACCTCTGACATGGAGGTGCCTCCCACTCAAGGGGTATGTTGGAAAGTCTAGAGGCGTCGGCGATGTTGAGGATTCTATGAAGATGTCGATGCCTCGCAAGTCGATTTCGGCCGTTGCCAGGATGGGTTTGATTGCATCCCTGTTAAAAGGTACCGGTACATGTAACAACAAATATCCATACAATATCAATTATACATGTAGATGTAATGGTCTTGAAGCAATCTGTAACCTTACAATAAACAACATGCTTACAAAACATAACAAAGATGATCATCATTTTTTACAATACAGGGTGAGTAAAAAAAAAACGAAACCCAAATGTCGGGACTATTGTTTGATTGAAGTTCTGCATGTAGCACTTTCAAAATCTAGGACATGAAAGCCCAATTCATAAGCTTTCTTTTAGTACAAGAATCATTGAAATCACTTCTGTACATGTACCGTACTTTCAAGTTATGGAGTTTTAAACACAGCCACCACAAAAAAAGGTGTGCGTTCTTTCAGCAAAACGAAAACAATTCACACACATCCCCGTGTGATTTCTTTTCGTTTTGTTGAAAGAACACTGATCTTTTTTTGTGATTCGTGGACAGAACCTTAAAACTGTGGTTGTGTTTAAAAATTCCGTAACCTGAAAAGTACATGAGTCATTTGAATGATTCTTGTACTAAAAGAAAGCTTATGAATTGGGCTTCCATTATATACTAGATTTTGAAAATGGTACATGCAGAACTTCACTAAAACAATGGTCCCGACATTTGGGTTTCTATTTTTTTGACTCACCCTGTAGGCAGGTAGTAATACACAGATTGTTTGCTCACTTTCGTTCAAAAGGACATGCATGAGTAGACCTGACTTGAAGCTTTGCATGACGGATGAGACAAAGTAGAAAGATTGCAGGAAAGAACCATGTGGAAAGTAATCTCTTCTTGGAAGAAGTGTGGTTCTGAAAAGAACCGGTTGGTTGAACTCAACGTTTAAGACAGGTGCTCTGTCCTCCTCAGGAGGATGAGTCTGTCCTCACCCTCTTGAGGATGGACAGAGCACACTGTCCGAAACGTCGAGTTCTACACTCAACCAACCGGTTCTTTTCAGAACCACACTTCTTCCAAGAAGAGATTACTTTCCACACGGTGCTACATGTACCTGCAATTTTTTTACTTGATGATTAGACCTCTTATGCATTCATGAATTAACCTAAAATCCCACCACACAGATGGCTGGTCAATGCAATCGATTAACATTGCTAATAATGATGTGCATCGGGTCGGGTCGAGCAGGCCAAACCGACCCAAAACATTAGAGATATAAACCGAATCCGAACCGAAGCCGATCTTAACTCCCTCAAACCGACCCGACCCGACAAAAAATAAGGTAAAACCGACCCGAACCAACCCAACCCAAGGAAAAAAAACCCCCAAAAAACGAGAAAAAAAACCCGAATACCTGGCTTGGACAAAGTGATCACTTTTTAGTGCCTGCCCTATATCCACGTAGCATGAATTCTTTTTCAAAACCATCGTCTCTCTCTCTGTCATACTCAGTGGGTTCATCGAGAGTAACTCCGCTTATTGAACAAACGCGTGGTCACCACGCGGTATCATGAAAAAAAACATTACAATCTATCTATTTCAATGTCAGTCCCATCCGACTGGAGAAATTAATACCGTGGGAACTTGATAGTGCGCTCGGTGGCCACACCACACAATGGGCTGCAGTCACAGTGACTGTCAATAATATTGCATCACCTAAATTTCTCAACTGTTTTGGTTTATTTTAGTTTATTTCGTTTTTTTTCAAAAGATGGCTAAACCGACCCGACCCGACCCGAAAATGTAAATGCAAAACCCGAAAACCGACCCGACCCGACTGAAAAGATGGACAAACCGACCCGACCCGACCCAATGTCGGTTTCGGTCCGGGTCGGTTTCGGGTCGGGTTTGCAAATCATTAATTGCTAATATTTATCTGAATACACTGTACATATATGAGTACATTGTAATGTATATTAGAATGTGCACTTTATACATGTAAATCCATATATATACCGGGGTTACTATTATTATTATTGCACATATACAAACTGTACTATGTTACTTTAAAGTTAATCAACAAAATGCTTATGTTGTATATCACCTTATAGGAAAGTTGGGGGAAGGGGGGAATGTCAGAGTATGCCAAGTTTGTTGACTCCTATTTTATTGTTTTATTCTTTGCATTCAAATATATTCTTTCAAATGCATGCAGTTTGAAAGTTGCATCCAAGGTATTATTCTACACGTTCTTATGATATATGCTTTGTAATCTGTATTCACGAAAATATGATTAGCAGTTTGTTTGCGTATTTGACAACCACTGTAATATACAAATACAACATGGTTTGTCGGGAAATTGTGAAAACTATTGAGCCGAGGGAGATAGTACCAATCATCCAACACCGAGGGATCATTTGTTTTCACTATTTCCCCGCAAAAACATGTTGTATTTGTTTGACTATACCTCATAAATAGTCATCAGGCAGCTGCGGTATTTCATTCGTCCATTCCACCATGTTTTTGATCATGCAGAATTTGGATAAAGTGAAACATTATTTTAATTTAAGGAGGCAGACAGAATAGAAAGTTAATTTTGTGTCATTTAATAACTGTAACAATCACGCAAAACACTGCATTTATTTTATTGTGTAATATTTCACCCACTTCCTACTCGGTTAAAATCGCAAAGCGAGCACCACCGGTCGCCATTTTGATGTATGCTGTAATAGACTGGCACATGCAACTGTCCTCACTGGTGTTCTCCACGGTACGCACGTAAAGCACATGCGAAGTTGGTAAAGAGATAACACATTACTGGAACAAATCTAACTGCTGCAACCCAGGTGTGTGATAGTGCCTTCCTGGTTTTTGCGCGTCATGCGCGCGTACGAAGACGCGGGGTGATAGTGAAAACTTTCAAACGGTTGAGTTGCTGGAATGGACCAATGATATGCCGCGGTTGCCTGATGAATATTTATGAGGTATAGTAAAACAAAATATCACAATTCTTACCTCAGAAGTAAGTCTCTAGTTGTCTGAATCTCGTGGGTTTGTGTGTAAAAGCGAAGCTCAAAGTACACTGTGATGAATTCCTTGACTGCGCCCCTCTATACACAAAAACAACAAATCATTCCAACTATTACTTGAAACAAAATAAAGCATGCAAACTGAACTGAACGAGCACACAGGATTATATACTACCGGTATTTCCAAAACAACTTGCATTTTGAAAGTACAAGTACATCAGAAATTAAATGCATAACCAGAATATGGATATCATACATACCTACCCGGTAGTTGTACAGTAAAAGTACAATATAATCCATGTAAGATTCAAAGTATTTTTGTTTATAAAAATACAAAGATGCACACCTTTTGTACATGTACCGGTACCTATACATGTACACTGTTCATGTACAGTTGTACCGGTACCAGGAAGTAAAACCGATTTCCATGTACATACTGCACACAACTTCCTTAAATTCTTGAGCAAATATCTCACACAAACAGTGATGCCGGGTGTTGACATAAGAAGGCTTTTAAAAGTTAAGCGAAAACTACTCCATATACGTGCCTATATTTTCCCACTCGTTGTCCCGAATATACAATGAAATACATTACTCACACAATAGAATCCAACTTCTGTGCGTAGGCACTACAGGAAATGAACCAAACTATATTATCCGCGGCAGGATCTGTCAAATTTGATCAATTCTTTTGGACATCTTCAGACGGGAACAAGTTCATTGTCAGAACAAAAAAAAAACGCCAGCCTGCAGTCAACAAAACTGATCAAGTCGCAACTAGACTCTTAGCCTACAAGCGTGTGACGGTAATTCAATAGCAACGTTCATCCGCATCGGTCGTGGTTATTTCCTGGCTCTCGGCCCCCAAATACTCAAGACCAGTACACCGCGCTACGTGTATGCATGTGTATCATCTTCCTGAATTGGATTATAGGCCCTATACAATTCGCAACCTATTGTCATGATAATTGGAAACATGCATTGTCAACACACACACACACACACACGCAGGGGTTTTTTAGCAACCAGGATAAGCTACTGCCATGCTGAGTTTATGACGGTGGTCCGTACTTGCAAAATGGCATACCACCACTTCCGGATGACCTTCTCTGGATGCGGAACTTGAAGTTTATCATAAACCTTCCTTTTTTTTGGAATTGTGTGACACAGACGTGTAATTCTTAGCACTGGATTTTACCTCTTTGTTAATTTGGTTAAGGGGAAAAATTACAGGAAAAAAAATTCAGTGTTGTAATTTCATCAAGCCTGATGTTATTACAAAGTCTAACTCTGATGTTGTTACAAAGTATTTACATGATCTCTGATGTTGTTACAAAGAATTTACATGAACTCTGATGTTGTTACAAAGTATTTACATGAACTTTGACTACATTATTATATTCCTTTGTTATTGTCTTTTCCTCTGTTACTTGTAACTTGAAGATTTCTAATCCTTCTCCAATAATGCTGTAATGAGGCCTTTTCACACTGGAGCCTCTCAACCCGGGTTGAACTCAACCCTGGGTGAACCCAGTGCCATCCCGGGTTGAACTTTTTTCTTTCAAAGCCACGTTCAACCCTGCATCGTTTCACACTTGTTTTGCGCAAACCGAGCTTGTTTCACTCAGTTACTGTTTTGAACCCTGGCGAGTGTTTTAACCCGGATTGAAAATTTCAACCCTAGTCTAGACCAGGTTGAGTTCAAACCCGTGCGAAGTCAATCTCCGGGTTGACACAGGGTTGGCACAGGGTTGAAAATTGTCAAGTGTGAAACACTGCATGTTTTCAACCCTGCCTCAACCCAACGTCAACAATGAGAATTGTTTGGTCTGGCGCAGGGTTCAGTTCAGCCCGGGCTAAATCAATCTCAGGTTGAACATTTTCAAGTGTAACACTGCATGTTTTACAACCCAGCCCCAACCCTGCGTCAATTCCAAGATTTGTCTAGTGTGAAAAGGCAGAATCATCTCAAGGTTGGTGCAGGGTTGAAATTTTTGAAGTGTGTAACACTTAATGTTTTAAAACCTGCATCCAGCCCGAGATTTAACTAGTGTAAAAAGGTCTATAGCTATGCCTCCCCCCCCCCCCCTTGTAATGATATGGACCTCCGTGCAGAATTAGTTAAAGAAGTTGTGGAATGCTCGAAGACATATCCGTCATTCTTCGGGTATATGTAGCCTAAGGTGTGATGAAATAAAAACGACTATTGTTTCTGTCATAAAATGAGTACAAAAGGTACTTTTGAGAGCTGTTTTCAAGTCCTGTCATGCCTGTTTCGACCCGAACATGCAATTTGTGTAAAAGTCGTCGTTGCGGGCAGCAAACAAAACACAGTAAATCGTGACGTAATAAACAGGACTCCCGATGCAGAGTAGCATAAACCAGTCCTGTTTATTACGTCACGATTTACTGTGTTTTGTTTGCTGCCCGCAACGACGACTTTTACACAAATTGCACGTTCGGGTCGAAACAGGACCTGAAAAATAGCTCTCAAAAGTACCTTTTGTACTCATTTCATGACAGAAACAATAGTCGTTTTTCTTTCATCACACCTTAGGCTACATATACCCAAAAAATGACGGAAATGTTTTCGAGCATTCCACAACCTCTTTAATGGCGCTTTTTAATCAGGTCCACACATGACAGCCTGTATGAGGGACGCAATGTATCCATGCACCGTGCTCAAGTACCCCCTCAATGGTAAGAAAGGGAGAGTTGGGGGAGACCACTGGGACAGACATTTGAACGCATTGCTGACGCTCATGCGAAGAAAAAGACTCTATGGCTTTGTGCACATTTAGAATAAAACAAGTTGTGCGTACTTCGCGCTAAACGCGCATGAAACCAGTACGCGCAAGCTGTTTGTCCCATCCACTGGGCTCTCAAAAGTTGTACGTACCGGTACTTCGCGCTAAACGCGCATGAAACCAGTACGCGCAAGCTGTTTGTCCCATCCACTGGGCTCTCAAAAGTTGTGCGTACCGGTACTTCGCGCTAAACGCGCATGAAACCAGTACGCGCAAGCTGTTTGTCCCATCCACTGGGCTCTCAAAAGTTGTGCGTACCGGTACTTCGCGCTAAATGCGCATGAAACCAGAACGCGCAAGCTGTTCGTCCCGTCCACTGGGCTCTCAAAAGTTGTGCGTACCGGTACTTCGCGCTAAACGCGCATGAAACCAGTACGCGCAAGCTGTTCGTCCCGTCCACCGGGCTCTCAAAAGTCGTAAAAATAAACATCCTTCCTCGTCAGTGCAAGGAGCTCATCAACTGTCAATCATCTCGCTAAACTCCGACAAAAGCAACACCCAAGAACGACCTCGAAGATTCTAGGAAGTGCGTATGCAAATGACTCACTCTGTGACAGGGACAGGTCAACCAGAAGTTCACAAATTGAGGAAGTTCACAAAGTTTCGTCTTCATCTTTCAACGAAATGCAATTTGATATTTTACCTGTGCGGTAAACACAAGGAAATCTGATACCGTCATGACTAAAGGCCCTCACTTCCTGATGTTTTTTCACACCTTTCACTGCATAACTTTTTGCAATGACAAAACCACTTTTTAAAAGAGAACTATTTTCTTTCTCAAGAAGAGCCAATTACCATGATTAATACTGAGAGTGAAACTTCTTGAAAATAGTATCCATTTTTGTTTTGGTTCAATTTTAGGAAGTTCTGGTGCACGTTTTATTCGTAAAGATGTACTGGCTGTGTTCTTCATCAAATTGGATTTGTCTGTTTTAACAGGGTGAGTAAAAAAAAGTGGAACCCAAACCCCAAAAGTTATATTTCATATTTTAAAAATATGTAGCACCAAAAATAATAATGTCTGGAAAGCCAGTTTCATATGGTACTTTTAGATGAAAAAAATGACTGAAATTGGTCAATCCGTTCAGAAAGTATCACCATTTAAACACAATGACCCTAAAACCTGTCTTGTCAAAAAAATGCGATTTCAAGAATCGTCGTCGCAATTGTCTTCGAACATCACCAGCGATAAAATTTCAGTTTAAACGTTAAAATTACTCAACAGAATCCCTTTGAAGGCCCATCCCATAAAAAAATAGATTTTGTAAATCATATTGTTTTCCTAACCAGGGTTGTTAATAAAGATATTGTGTTAATACAGTTGGTGACAGTTCTTGAAACAAGTATTCAGAGTCATTTTCTTGGTTGTTCCAAAACACAAAATGAATTGCTTTTTGTTGGACGAGACAGGTTTAAGGGGTCATTGTGTTTAAATGGTGATATTCTTTGAACGTATCAAGCAATTCCAGCATTTTTTTCATCTAAAAGTAGCTGATGAAACTGGTTTTCCAGTCATTATTATTTTTGGTGCTACATATTTTTTTAAATATGAAATATATTTTATGGGGTTTGGGTTCCACTTTTTTTGACTCACCCTGTATTTAGGAAAAACTGCTCCTTTCTGTTTTGGGCATCTGCGGCCCTCTGAAATAAATTAGGCTTCTTAAAGGGAATACATTTGGGAGGTATTAAACACTCTGTTTAAGACTGATTGGAGTCTGGATGCTGATAATTACCCAAGCCGAAGGTATAAATTATATCTTTCCAACTTCAAAATAATAAGTCACAGATTTTGCCTCATTTAGAAAACTCAGAAAACGACAGAGCTGGACACTGATAAAGGCAGTCTTTACAATGTACATGTAGGGTTTATACATGTAGTCTTGTCAGTGCAAACATGAACATGCACAAGTACATGTATATTTCTTGGTTCTTGAAGCCTCATAGAACGCACACCATATAAATGTACACATGTACATGTACATGTACTATTATTTATACTTGGTTCGGGGCCATCACAGAAGTACATACATGTACAGCAAAAACACAACACAAATGGCCCATCATAAAGTCACCTGAATAACTTTCCCAGGACAACCCCCATTGTCTGCGACTAGCCTTGTCTGTCATGTGACAACAAAAAGAGTCACATGACAACAGAAAGGTGGAAATTATATCTTTCCACATTCCTAAAACACAATAAGAAAGGGGCGGCGGCAAAAAACCTACAATCTTTCTCAGCAATTATCAGCGAATTGAAAGGAAAGTGTACAA